TCGGTTTTCTGCTCGGCCTTGGTATCACTACCGTCGAACCGGCTCATTCGTGCAAAGCATGGCTTTCCCACACTTACAGCTTTTTCATTTTTTGGGATTAGGATATCGAATACCTATTTTCCGACGATCAAAGGACTTGGTACGAGTTTTTTTACGTTAAAAGTAAAACAATTTCATTCTAAGGCCTCTAGTGTGAAAGAGCAAATAATATGCAAGTATAATATCTAAACCTTTAGGTTTTTTCTTGTAATTTGTATTTCAACAAAGTAACAAAATATAATATGTACTCACCAAGCTTACGTCTTTTAGTTGGCTGAAGTGCCCTTGCTATATTTTTAAGAGCTGATCTGTTGATAATTTTCTTAGTTCTTATCACTTCGTCATCGGCACCTGAAATTAACAATACAATATGTATTGTATACTAGCTTCTGCCCGCGACTTCGTTCGCGCAATCCCGTTTTCTCCCTTTCCCAAAAGAATTTTAGGATTTTTTTTCTATCATAGGAACCTTTTCCTGTCATTAACAAACACAACAAAAACGGGTTTCATTTTTATAAATATAGACTTGACTACGACGGCTTCGTTGGCCGAGTGGTCGCAAGTGCGACTGCTGAAGTATTACCGAGTTTTTTCAAAAAAATCTCAGTAGTAGCACGGAGTCTGGAAAAGTGTCCGGTATACGGCAATAGCTCACCCCCTTTTTTTCATTACCCCTTTCACTATTCGGGCGTGAATCTAAAAATATGATACTTACTATCATGTTGCGCCTGGGCATCTCCACTCTCATCTAAATTATCACCAAACATTTCATCCACAGCTGTAAGAAAAAACATAAAATATTGATAAATAATAATTGACTTTATTATTATAACTGCTAAATTAGAATGTAGTGAACTGAATGGGTGCCACTACAGTGCAAATGGTCTCGGGTTCGATTCCTGGGTTGGGCAAAACATTACAAATATTTTTTTAATGTCAGTAGTAGCACGGAGTCTGGAATTATGCCCGGTATATGACAATAAGCTCATCGCCTATTGCATCGGACCCATAACATAAATCGTGAAAAGTGGGTGCTACATTGTACAGTAGCATTGCCTTGTGCCTACCTCTTCGGGGATAAAACGCGTACTGTTAAATTATGTGAACTGAACGTAGATTAAATATAGACGCTAGCAAGACAAACTATTAGTGTTGCATGAGTAAATTTACAGGAAGATATTTTGAAAAAAATACTCATATCAAAATAGAAATTTCATAATATGTCTAATATGTATAACCATAAGAGTGAAAATTGCTTACCTGCAATTTTCTGCTGCAACAACTTGAGTCTCTGTTCACTGATGTGTCTTTCTCCATCTCTGCGTTTCATATTCTTCTCTAGCGTATAGAAGAATGGACGACTCATGTTGAAACCAGTTTCCATTTCCACATACGCTTTGATTTTCATCAAGTCCACTTTTAGTTGGAGAAAATCTTTGATCTGTAAACAAAAATGATTTTATTAGGCACTAGCTGAGCCCTCGACTTCGTCCGCGTGTAATAGTGATTCACAGCTCCTCCCCCGTAGTTGATTGTATGATAATATGTAGCCTATATGTTGACCCGGCCTGTTAGTAATATTCATGCAAAATTTGAGTTCATCCCGGACATACATACAGAAACACAGACAAATATTCTAAAAACTATATTTTTGGTTTCAGTATCGACTGTAGATTTTTTTTTTAATTTTTGATGTACTGTTTTGACTTTCCTACAATTTTATTATAAATGTATAAATAATGTTTTATGTCAACTAATAGGAAATAATGAGTTAATACAATTTTGACAAGTATTTAGTTCAGTACAGACAGAACACAAAACCTAAAATCTCTATACATAGTAGTAATTAACATTTTTCATTTTTCATCTTTTATTGTTGTAAATATGTCAATTACTGTAATTGGTTTTCTAGCGTTGTAACTGTTTAAAAATAAATAAATAGATTGAAATTTCCTACTTTTAACTACATGAAACTAACAATAATAATAAGCTAATGTGAGATAAATGATAGACTAGACATCTATGTTACGTTACAAACTTTTTTTCATCAAAAATCATACAATTACTTCTGTCGCCTTGGATTAGGCGAGAGGGAGTGTCAGACTCTTACTGACTAAAAACCACCCCGTTCCTACTCCTACACTTCGAGCCGCAGCCCCGGCAACCCGTTAGGGCTACCGCGGCTCCGTTATGTTACAACCTGGAGTCCGAACTCATACAGGTAATTTCAATGTCTTGTTCCATACACATAGGAGTCATACATATAGGGCTATGAATATTACAAAAAAAGTATATTACCTCTTCCTTGACATATGGAGGTAATCGACGTCCATGTTGTAGTTTGTAAAACTCTTGTAAAGATAATTCATGATCATGATGATTACATACGTAGACTACGGTGAGTTCCCTCTCGTTGGGTAGATGCCTTAACTTTATTTTGCAAGGACAATCAGTCTTCATCGTATTGTTTCTGAAAAATATATATGAGAAATGATTATAGATACCAGCTACAGGTCATAGGTCATCATACTTAATCCGGAATTTTAATGTGTACTGTAACATATATGCATCCTAAGAGATACAAGTTGACACAGTTAGTGAAAGTAGACCAATTACTCAATATTATAATGATACCTATAATGAGCAGGTAGTGAGAGGGGAACTCGGACACTAGTGCCTAAGTATAACGGATAAAGCTAATTCACACTTACATTTACATGTCATTTGATTGGGACCTTCAGGTTGCAAAGCAAATTTTTAATGCCTTTAGAAATATTTAGGAATTTAAATAATTTATAATTTTATACAAACCTCTTTCTCAATCCCTTCTTCTTATACTTTTCCTTAGTTCTCAAGTAAACACAGTTGTACGTATAAGTTTCGTTGCCTGTATTTGGGTTCCTTGAATCGGAACAGCTGTAGTAGAAGCACCAACGCTTGGCATTCTCATTCAGGTACTGTACGAAGTCATCGTGAGATTTGAACTTGTCCCCGGGTTTCACAAGTTTCTCATCTTCATGTAGGAGTAATCCTTGGTGCTCGGTACAGTATTCGCTGTACGGCAGGTAGATAAGCGCTAAAAAATTAATAAACATAGATTACATTATTTAATTTGTATAATGTGTGTGTTATTATCGTACAATACTATAATAATTGTAAAATGATATGGGAATTTGTAATGTAATTGGAAAACCTTGAAAGTAATACAATAAATACAAAATAAAGTATATTCACCTTTTTTGGAATCTTGAGCTTCTTCAAGACTCATTTTTATAGTTCTTATATCAAGAACTTTCAATATTTCAATTTATAAACTGAAAATAAATAAAATAGGCCAGTTAATGTAAAAGAAAAGTAGAACATTAAAACTTGTTTTTGATAAAATACCTATTTACAAATCTGTATCTTAATCTGTCAAACACCAAGCGGTCACCGGTGACCGCGACCTATTGTTCTTTAATTGTGTCTATAAAACCGGTACTCGACGAGTTAACTATTCTATTAACTTTTATTCATACAGTTACATAATTAGTTATGTGACCATAACTATGTATTCAAATTCTTTTTTATATTTATAAAAGAAAACTTGCCCCACACTAGGATTTTCTCCCGTGTCATGGGTATGTTTACAAACATACAAGTTCACATATACATGATATACAGACTCGAAAAATTATTTATGGATCACACAAAGAGTTGCTCCATGCGGGAATCGAACCCACTACATGTTGCGCAGTAGCCGGTTACCCAGCTACCACACCAACCATATAGTCAAAAATTACAACACCAAACCTAAATATTTAATAACTAATAGACAATCTTTTGGGTAATTTATTTATTTGATGTGTCTTGCACTCATATAATGCTCATACGGAGTTAGTGGCACAGGAATTATCTACTGATCAACTTTTAATTAAATTTTTTCTGATTTTTTTTAGAATAGGTATTAAAATAATACAAAATTTCCATATAGACCACTTTATAGAAACCTTCACCAATAAACATTACTCAAAATTATCAAATTTATTGGGGTCAATTTCTTGTTAATCTTGTTATCATTCCAATTTTAAATTATTTATCATTGCATAAAAAAGCAGAGAACCAATGAACTAAAGATATGTTATTTTTCAAACTATTATTATTTTAACTTTTTTTATCCTAATCTTAATCTCTCTGTTCAATCCAAGAACCTCAAGGACAACCCAGAAATCTTTCAACATAATGTAAATAATATATTAAGTTGAGATGTAACAATATGATGATAAAAATGTAAATAAAATAAAGTTATGAATAGGGAAACAAACTTTGTCTAACTTGATTCGTATTAGAAACTCGAACAATAGCTTTGCTCAGCCTTTATTGTGCAAATAAGACGACTTTAAATTACTGTAGAGCAGTAGTTATTTTAACCAGCCAAATCACGTAGGTATAAATAAAATAAAAAATTAACACCAATAAATTCATTTTATTAGTCTTTAAAGCATTATTTTTCCTAAATGGGTTATGTTTGCACTCAAGCAACGGCCCCAACGCGTTGTTCATAAAACGTTATCAGAGCGTCTAAATAAATCGCTTACCTAAACGCAGTCAACTCATGTGACTAAAGTAAAAATAAAATTGTAAACAAACTTCGAGTTTAGGGTGAGTTTTAAACACAATGTTTTCTTTCACAGATTTCCCTTCTCATTGATAATCAGAATTTTTGACATGAGATGACTGATGCCACTGCCACTTTGATGGACGTTTGTGTCGGGTCGGGGAATAAGTATGGAGTTTTAGTTCAGATATCAATAAAGGTTTATAGGTAACTTTTAGATTTTTGGTTAAATAAGAAAAAATATTTGGAGATTTTCCAAAGTTGAAAATAGTAAGTTCGAGTCTTCAAAAATGACTCTTCATGAAAATATGATAGTGTGATTTTCGAATAACATATCCGAACGTATCTACTCAAAACAAATAACATTCTACATAAAATTATTCCTATTGTACCTATTTGTTGCGCACATTTTTAAATTTGGTGAAATAATTAAAAGCCTAAGGGCTTTTAATTATTTCACCTAATGGTTTGGTACGTGATGACGGCAAAAGACCAGATGGTATGTCGTTGCTGCCTTGGAAGATGGGTAGGCCTTTGGTGTGGGACGCGACGTGTGTAGACACCCTTGCGCCATCACATCTTTTAAGCACCGCTGCGTGCATTGGTGCAGCTGCTTCCGCGGCAGAGGCCCTCAAACGGCGTAAATATTCAAATCTAGTGGGTAACTACTGTTTTGAGCCGTTTGGGGTCGAAACACTTGGGCCATGGGGTCCCAGTGCACACTCTGTGTTTAAAGACATCGCCCGTAGGCTAATCGACTCTACACGTGACCAGAGGGCTGGCTTTTTCTTCGGACAGAAAATAAGCATTGTCATTCAACGTGGCAATGCTGCCTGTCTTCTGGGAACTTTCCCCTGTGATAGTGATGCGGACGAATACTTTGACGCCTAAATTAAGGGTATAATTTTTGTTGTTTTCTTTTACTTTCTTTTTATTTAATAGTCTAGTTGTAGTTAATTTTAAGTTATAAATATTTATGTAGTTATATAAATTATTCACTTTTTGGTTTGACATTACATTGTTGATTGTTGAAAAAAAAAAAATATTTCACAAAAACATTTCCTGCTGGGGTAACGTTACCCCAGCCAAATCATATTCTTTCCAATGGGAATTTTTAAATAATTACTAGTTTGATGAAGTAAATGTTGTGTCTTATTTTATAAATAATCTTTCATCGGTTGCGAAGTTATTCGAGATTTTGCTGGGGTAACGTTTTTGGTTTTGCTAGATCTTTGTAGTGGTTAAGCGGATTCTTATCATAAATATTTTCTTAACAAAATCTTGAGATTTTCGTCTAATTGTTTACATAATTATTCAGATAACACGAGACATTTGCGTTGAGACCATTTTGTACTCGATTGGAAGTCTCGACATTAATAACGACGGAAATCGCTCGCTTTTTATCGTTATCTTTGTTATAGGTCCCCAGCTATGTTTCACCTTGTAATAAGCCAGGGATTATAACGCTAATAAAGTCAACCCTTAGAGTGCCACGTCAGTCACCGGTGCCTGACGCTAGTGGAGGTTTGACTTTCACCATTTTAAACTTGGCAGTTAAAGTATTAAAGAAAATAAAGTAAGGAAATCCATACAGTTGTTGTCCTGATTCCTATCATGATTCCAATCATCACTTGAACGTAATATTTTAATTCTTGAACGTAATAAATTTTAAGCCTAATTTTAAGCCTAAAATGAATGAAATATTTTTTCTGTTTCAACAAAAATTACAATTTTGACATATCAAATGACACAAGAAGTCAAAACATGAAAACAACAAAAGAAAAATAAACATGTGAACATCATGGCATTGTCGGCCACTTTAGTTGGGAGATAAATACAACATTTTGAAGACAACATTTTCAAGTCACAACATTTTGAAATCTCTAGTCTTAACCGTGAATCATGATCGTTGCTCTTCAGACTTTGGTTTTTTTCCGTGAATCGTTGCTGTCGGCATTGGACGGTTTATTACGGCCTTACTATAGGCACTTGACTTTAGCTTTTACTCGGAGTGGGAATGTTTTAGAGGATGAGGAATCTGACGACCAAGTGTTCGCGGAGTTTGACGATGAGAAAGGTGTTATATTTTTCCCGCCGATGTACGCTCAGCGGTATGCTGCAGTCAGCGACTGGCTAATGGATGACCGTTGGTGCGGGAAGCTCGAGAAGGTATCTTTATTAGTACCAGTACTTATGTATCTTATGGTGTACCTACATAAATTAATAAAAAATGGTAAAAACTTATCATTTTAAAAAGTTAAAAAAAGTCACAGGCCATAAATTGATAATTATTTACAGTTATTTTGTTATTTATTATTTTGTAGTTAGGTATGAAGGTATATAAAATTTTTGCCACTAAATGAAATTTGCTAGATAATCTCTAGGTTCTCTCAACAAGCTTAGTAGTGAAAAATTCTATAATGGGTTTACAAAACACATACAGTATTATAATTTTCGAATTAGAATTGTCTATAGACTATTTATCACCAAAAACGCTTTGCTTTCATTTTACACAGGTAGTGGATTTTGGCCACCATGATATGAGTTTTGTCAAGTATTTGAAGGAAGTTCCTGGCATCCGATACATACTTGGTGTGGATATTGAGACCATTCCTCTGAGATGTTCCTCTGATCTACTTGGTGGTGATGAGTATTCTCCGAAGAGGGAGAGCCCTTTGCAAGTTACTGTAAGTTTATTTTATTCATTTGAAATTGCATTTTTGTGCTATTCAAATCTGAAGAAAAGTTTCATTATTAGATATAATTCTTATTAGATTACACTTTATTACTCAATTTTAAGACATGCCTAAGTGTAGTTCTGTCACCACAAATTAAAAAATGACAGAGATGGCACAATATTTAAGTTCGACTTATAATTTAGTAGCCTTTCAGTATTACAGTCATTTAGTATAAGTCATTTTTAATAAGTCGGTACCTAATCTAATTTTATTGATTTGTCATCCTGTAGTGTTACATACATTTTACTGGTTACAATAACTGCTTTTCCTCAGACAGGCCTTTGCTACCGCTTATTTTTACTAGTGACCCGCCCTGGCTTCGTACGGATGCAATGTGCATGTTTTATTCATATAAACCTTCCTTAAGGATCACTGTATCTATTAAAGAAAACTGCATCAAAATCCGTTGCGTAGTTTCAAAGATCTAAGCATACATAGGGACAGATAGACGGCGGATAGCAACTTTGTTTTATACAATGTAGTGATAATCTCTTCTTCATCATCTTGTCTTTAATTTCCAGCTCTTCCAAGGTAATGCAGCAGATCCAGATTACCGTCTAATCGGCTGTGATGCTGTTGTTGCAATAGAGATGATAGAACACATGCTGCCCCATGACCTGGAAAGATTGGTCCACACTGTGTTTGGCTTCATCAAACCATGGATAGTCATCTTTACTACGCCCAATGCAGATTTTAATGTATTGTTCAAAGCCTTAGAGAAGAATGGACTCCGTCGTATGGATCATTTGTTTGAATGGACTAGAGAACAGTTTAATGATTGGTACGTAAGTTATTACTTAGATTTTATATCCCAACACAAGTATTGTATAATTTCTTACTGGGACTGCCTCATTGTTAGACAGATATTGTAATTTTTAAGATAGTAAAGAATTTGAATTTGAATATCTGTTGGGTATCTTATGGTAAGACCTGATTTTGAGTGAGATTAAAACCGTACTTGTTTCTTGTTATAACTAAATTTTCCTTATATGTTACTATGATGTGTTGTTATCAAAGAATTTTCCATTCCCATATTTTTTACGATGCAGAAAGAAAATCAGTCAAATAAATTTATGTAGTATGTTTATCTTTTCCAATGTACTTTTTCGATTCCCTCACGGAGCAATTTTTTGTGTGATCTACAAATTGTTGTTTCGGGTCCGGATGTTATGTGTATGTGAACTTGTGTTTGTAAACGCATCCACGACACAGGAGAAAATACTAGTGTTGGGCAATGATTTTTAAAAAGGAAGAAATACAATTATTATTAACAACATTTTGTTTTGATGTTTACAGGTGCAGCAACATAGTAGTTAGGTATCCTAACTACACGGTGACCTGCCAAGGTATAGGTCCTGGTCCACCGGGAACTTTGCACCTCGGCTGCTGCAGCCAACTCTGTTTGTTCACTTCCAAAAACTACCACAAGCAGGCAGATCTAAATATCAACAGTTTGGCTCTGGTTGAAAGTAAGTTTTTTGTACTTCATCTGTATTTTTATATAGTACTAGCGGACCCGACAGACGTTGTCCTGCATATCCACTTGAATAAATAAACAAAAATTCATTCAAATCAGTTCGGCCGTTAAGGTAAATAACCTAGACTTCGACTGCAGCGCCATCTACCGGGCTGATTTGTGAATCTAAACCATTCCCAGATCCCTTGAACACACACAAAAATTTCCTCAAAATCGGTCCAGTCGTTTGAGAGAAGTTCAGTGACAGTACACACTCACAGAAGAATTATAAATATATAGTATTTTAAAAATAACAAATGATAAACATAATGTAAACACCATAACTAGCTATATTGCAGTAGAAGTAGACTGCCATTGGTTGAGTTGTTGTGCCACTACAAGTAATATGTCTCGGGTTCGATTCTTGGGCCTTGGGTCGGAAGAGTATCGGGTTGTACGCAACTCTTTATTAAAAACTTCTTTTGTAATTTCAAATTACGCGTGAAGCGTGATAATAAAAGTGGTAATGTGGTCTGTTTGCGCTAAAATTTAAAAATGGAAGGCGCACCTACGTCTCGCTCGAGCAGGCTCCGCGCTCGCGCCAATAATCGCTTACGAAACGTTTAGCGAGTGACCGTGTATTTAAAACGCATCGCTTTCTCAGCTTTCGCCAATTTTTTCAGTTTCTTGAATTCAGTGTGAACAACATCGAGCCCTAATCGGCTACAAAGGTTTTATTTCCAGTTTTTCGAAAATCTTAGTGAAAGAGCCTTGAATGATATGGATAAATAGATACGTCCATTTGCAAACTTATTCTTGTACTTTTTCTGCAGATGCACCGACTCCTAATAACTTTAGCGATGTATTTGGATGTTGGGAAAGTTCGGTGGGTACCAGGCAAGAAGTGGAACAGGCGCCGACTGGAACAAAACCAGAAAGGTAAGGAGATTTCTAAAATTACTTACATAATTATATTATTGGTATCTGAAGGTTTGATTGTGTAATTTTACTGTCAAATTGTGTGTGTAAACTACACAATCCCCCCCTTCCGTCCCCAATATCTCCAATCCATGAATCCCCAACAATCCTCAAACTCCTAATCCCTAATCCTCAAAATCCACAAAAGGCCGGTAACGCACTTGTAACGCCTCTGATGTTCCAGGTGTCCATTGGCGACGCCCATTGCTTACCATTAGGTGATCCGTTTGCTCGTTTACCCGTTACTGGCTTATCCCATAAAAAAAGTTTATAGCAGTTTCTATTTCATCTTCTTCTACTTCCAAAGCCTCTAAATAAATAAAGGTAAAAAAACTTCTACGTCTAGGAATCTAAAGTAAAGTGGGGGTTTTATTTAGTATGCACTTTTGTCTACTCTTTCAAGCCTCCGGGAAATAAAATGCTAATTACTTCCGCGTGGCGTCACCCGCTCCTCTCGGCGCTTTTATTGATGTTTTATAGCCTCTAGCCTACCTCAATAAATGGACTATATAACACAAAAATATTTTTTTTAGTCGATCCAGTATTACCTGAGATTAGCGCGTTAAAACAAAGAATCTCTTCAGCTTTATATAATACTAGTGACACGCTCCGGCTTCGCACGGGTGCAATATGCATGTATTATACATATAAACCTTCCTTAAGAATCACTCTATCTCTTGAAAAAACCGCATCAAAATCCATTGTGTAGTTTTAAAGATTTAAGCATACATAGGGACAGACAGACGGTGGATAGAGATATTGTTTTATACTATGTAGTGATAACAGTATATAAGATTTGATAAAGCAAAAAAATAAATCGTATAGGTACTATTTTTTTCAATTTAACTTTTTTTTCATCAGTTGTTCTTATAAATTGCTAACTTTCCAGTGCGGAATCTCTAACAGAGATAATTTACCCGGAGAAACAGTCACACTTGACGCTTGTTATATCTTCAACTCTATGCAACTCAATGCCTTATTCTGATCCTACCTTCGCCATGGAGCCTTACACTTACAAAGACCAAACTCTTCAATGTAACCTCGATACTGAAATAGGAAAAAGTTTTTTAATGTTTGACTTTGAAGATTATTATCATGTACTGGTACCAAGGAGGCGGGTTCAACATAAAGTGTACGATATTGAAGATGTCTCTAGCAGGTTCTGTGATTTTTATCTGTACAAGTCATCTATCTTAGGTTTGGTATTGATCGTTTGAAAATTTGTATTATTGATTTTCATGTTAGATGTATCATGAGAGTCCAATAAATAGTTTTAGTTTCATTCTCACAGTAAAATGCTAGATATAGATTTAGTATTCGCATTATTTTTTTAAAATATAAATTACATAGACTAATAATACACTGCCTCGATGGCCGAGGGGAGACCTCTTGCCCGACAGTCTCACTTGCAACCACTGGGATCGATTCCCGGGTCGGGCAAGTATTACTGGGTTTTTAAAAAATCTCAATAGTAGCACGGAGCCTGGATTTATGCCCAGTATATGGCAATAGGCTCACCCCCTATTACATGGGTGTTGCATTGTACAGTAGTATTAAGTATCGTAATGTGCACCTCTGCCAACCTTCAGGGATAAAAGGCGTGATGTTATGTTGTAAATTATATAGAAATGGCTATATGGCGTATGGCGTGACATCCCTATGTCCATTCCATTTTCATAGTAATTGTTCTTAATTCCACCCTGAGTAAACCAAACGAAAACACCCCTCGATAAAGCGTTAAACAATTTTATATCACATTTTTTTATCTCCAGGCTGAATTGCACAACACTACAGGTAAAGAAGTTCTCGAAGACCACACAGAATTTAATGGCTAAAAACAAGATAGACTCTTTAGTCCATACCAGAGAGGTTGTCAATGAGATCCGACATCTCACTAAGACCTTGAACTTCAACAAGTTCAGCCGGCCTGAAGATGGAAGCCATATTTGGAATAACATCAACTGGGGTGACAACGCGCCATATTGGAACCAGTATTATAAAATCGTTAGGGAATACATCTATCCGTTTGAGGTGAGATTTTGTTTAACGTATTTTGTTTTGATGTGTATCATTAACGTCTGTGGCGCCATCTGGTGGGCGCGAAAATGAATACTGCACCTGAATTAATTTCACAGTATACCTATTTTACTTCTTGTTTATGTAGGTAAGGTTTGAATCACGCAGATCTCTCTTTTAAAAATTATTTTTTTTCTTAGTCACGGGTAGTATCAGGAGGCTTACTCTTGAATCCAATTCCGATCGATCGACATTGATATTGTGTGTTGCAACACCAGCGCCTATGATATTGTATATTGCGTGGATGTTTAATGAAATAAATGTTATTGAGTTTGGCTTTATATTCCGTACTCTGAATGCTATTTTAACACCTACGATAGGGGTTGGATAGTTTTGACATTGTATAATTATTGAAGTTGAGATTGGTTTCAAGAGTAAGCACCCTGTTTCCTCGATCAAAGCAACCGATAAGAATGGTCAAAAATATATTCAATTCAATTACCTACTTATAAAAATTATGTTAAAAGATGCTGCCAAATTAACGCACCAAACTGTAGTATTATAATATGTCGCCATCTTAACCATTTTACGGTTTTCTAGGCGAAATCCGACGAAGCTAGAATGTTGGATCTGATATCTGAAGAGATCAATCGTCTGATTGATATGCAGTATGATGAGGAGTTCTCGGTCGATGTCAACAGGCTGGAGATTCCGTTGACTAATCTCATGGCGGTCGTACATCATATCACTACTGATGTCGATAGAGTACGGTTAGTACCCACCCTCAACATTAATGAGGTGATTTTGTACTAAGCTACGATATGACCGGTAACTTTTTTACTCGAGCTCCAATAACTCGTAAAAATTCATGACAATGCCAGCATATTCATATATGCCAGCATATGCCAGGTTTTTCTGGTTTTTTGATAGTAAAAAACATTTGAAAGTTATGGTAGACTTTCTTGCTTGTTCTTTTCCATTCGAAACTACACTTTGGAACGAGCTCATAGCTTCACTGACAGACAGACAGACTGACTGACGGGCAATTCAATTTTGACGTTTCAAAAGTGTCTAATTAAGGATTCATTGAAATATATGCTTTGACTTTATCAAATTCTTCGATTTTTCAATTTTGATATCATCAGAAGGTTTGAGTAACATGTTTTATTAGACCAGAAGAATTTGAGTTTATTTCGATATTTCTTCTCACAGTAATAAATTAATACCGACGTCTAAAAGCGCTATTTTGTACCTTATTAAAATTTCTAGAATCAAGTTTCATTTACAACATGTGTCTTGTCTTTGGCAGAGACCTCTTGGAATGGAATGGCTATGAGGTCGTGAACGACGTGGTGATTCATTCACGCCTCGTGGTGGACAACACTTCGATCGGCACGCATGATGAGGAATGGCAGGACAATGACACGTTATCTGATGTAATTCTATTCTGAAATAATTATGTATTGTCTGGTAAACTTATGGCGACTCGGAAGTATCTATTAACGGCCAGTTTCAGTAACCTATGTGCATGTAACCTCCTTATAAAAATGTGTCTAAATTCTATCTTAAGTAGACCAATCTACCAGTAATTGGGTTAGGGAGACTGGTCTTAGTTCATTACTAGTCAAAGTAGCTGAGGTAATGTGCCTAATGGGTAATTCTGAAGGCTTAATAACGAGTACGCGTTCGGCGCTTTGATTGGTTGGTTCATTGGCGCCGGCCAATCACAGCACCGAACGCGTACTCGTTACGATTACTTTAAACGTAAAAGAACTTCGTATTAAGGCCTCTGTGGTTACTTAATATTCTGTATTTCCTACCAATTTGAGATGTTCTGAGCCGCCATATAGTTAAAATCCGAATGTTATAGTACTGATACAGAGATAGGAATTAGTATTAATGCCATGTATTTAACGTTCGGTTCCGTTTTCGGCGTAGAATTACTTTACAAATTGCTTAATTATAATTATGATAAAGGAATCCATATCTCATACATACATTTAAGGTTTTAAGCTTCTCTAAGTATTGTAGGCCTCAATTTTTGAGGTTTCATTCTGTTATTAACCTTTACTTTGTATGTGTAATCTTTGTGTTAGATTTGAGTTAGACTGGTAAAAGTTGTCGAGTATTTTCATTACTTTATTGTAAGAAATAAGTTTATATTTTATTAGCATGTAATTTCTCTATGTCGTGGTAAGTCAAATGACTGATATTATAGCATTCGATAGCTGTAGGTATACCTTAATTTATTTTTATTTGTTTTTAGTTATACCTTGGCAGGTACCGATGGAAATGTTATACCTCTAACGCGATCATTGACACGCGCCTTTTTATTGTTTATTGGCATATCTAACAGAATTATTAATTTAGTTTTTTTTTGCCATAAAATAGTTTATTATTACCTAAAAGGTGCATCACCTACTTTGTTGATTTTAACAATTGTTTAAAACTTAATATTATTCTTTAATGTTATTGGTTAAGCTTTCGTGTTGTATTTTAAGTAAAACTTATTATTACGTAGTAGCTTAAGCGTCACAAGTGATGTGCTTTTTTCATTAAATTTTATTCAAAATTCTAATTCTATCGTTTTATTGAATTCCTTGGTATTATAATATCAAAAAGAAGTCACCATGTCAGCAAAGTTACGTGTGGAAAGATAGGTTATGTTAATTTCGATAGAATAACTTGAATAACTTGAATTTCATAATATTTAGGGTCAATTTTTCCAACGCTAGATAATAACTGAGGAATAAATTTGAATATTTGGCAATCTTCCATACTAAAAACGGTCAAATGTCAGTTTCATTCTACAGTAAAGAATTAATTGATGATTAAAAAATCGGCCCTTAGTAATATGTGTTTTGTATGCAGGTCAGTATTTATGTAATAGCCAATAATAGGACACCGATAGGTATTTAATTTCGTTAAAACGTTGGCTAGCATTTTTGTACCTACTAGAAAGTGATAATGTAGCGCGAAATCCTATTGTTAAATCACTCTCAAAATTGATGGTCCAATGATGTGGCACTACGAACATAAACTGAACGTCAATTGGGCCAATAGGACCTCACACACACATTAATGCTAGTGGTGTGCATAAAACGTTATTCTCATTTGTTTTTTTTAATCATAGCTTTTTGTTTGCAGTGGGATACTGACATTCATTCCACATCAATGTCAGTTGGAAGTACGATAATACCGGACCTCCCGGGTTTGAAACGTTTCTATTTATTTTCTGTAATTTTATAATGGTTGCTAGGGGTATTTTTGTAGTTTGGTTTAGGCTGTTGTAGTACAAGTGTTTGTAGTTATTTTTGCACCATCTGACATGTTTCACAAATTATTTAGAATTAGATTGTATCGAAGTAATGTATCTCAAATATTTCCTTGGCGAGAACGCAGATTTACGCGAGCCGATGACTGCCGATGAAAAACTCTTGAAGGCAATTGAGGACTTGCCTACCTGCTTGAACTACGTTAGCAGAGGCGCTAACGTAGTTCACTGCCATAGATATAATATTAATATTTCTGTGGTCACCGCTGACCAGGGACCTACGCGGCACTTTTTACTTTGCCACCCTGAAAAGAAGAACCACATTTCATCTTCAACATCATCATTTCATTTCATCAGAAAAATAGATAAGTGAATTGTTAATTTGACAAAAACAAATTAATGGAATATATTTCACCATTTCTCCCAAAAGGACGTTGTCTACGTCGCGCCTTAGACCAGAAAGTGCGTAGTTTGCGAACAATGTTAATTGCTGATGAAGATATCACTACGGAACTGGATAGGGTGGTCTGTAGACTTATGAGGTTAGCCCTACAGTCTAGTAGGGGGCGCCAGACACCTCCCCCGTCTAGATGGATGCAATGCAAACTGCTTGATCTCCTCACCCTCACGGAAAAGGCTATAGAAAGGCGTAAGAAGCAGTTTATTGAAAACTATCCTATCTTGGCTATAGGTATGTGGGTACATCATTACTTTTCTAATAGTGGTACACTTTGTCTTCGTAAAAATCTTACGAAGATTTTGTAATAAACTCGACCGCGAAGATGGTTTTTATACGATTTTCGTTAATGTTATCATTGAAAAGTATTATGATTGTAGATGTATACCATTTGATTCGATTTTATTGGATTTGTATTTAATTTGGAAGTTTGGGGTAAAATCTCGTGTAGATAAAATGCGAATAATCTCGTATAACATGAATGAATTTGTTTATAAATGTCATTCCTTTTTCTTACTATATTTTTTTATGCACTAAATGATTGAACTTTCAGAGGAAGTTAAACAGCCAGATGTTGAACTAGACCAAGATACTAGAATGTAAGTTTCAATATTTAATTTATTTCATAGCAAAGTTTCGTAAAACACCCTTAAAACCTTCTGCATACAATTTATTTTTGCTTACAGAAAAGAAATTGTTGAAAAATATCGTCATCTCATACAACCAATAGGTAATATTGATAGGAATATCGAGTTATGTACTTTTGAGTTAATTCACCTTTTAAATTATAATTGTTGCTTTTTATTAGAAAAAACGACGAACACGGATGATACAAATGGTCAGAATTCTGACGTAGATATTATGGAAGATGAATTTTTAAGTACAACTAGTAACGAGTTCTTGAAAGGCATGTTCATTTAATACTATTAGATTTATTTCTTTAATTAAGATGTTCCCCTAAAAATAGTTTTTTAATGTATAAATAAGTTACCTTCATTAATTGATTATTTTGAAAAAGTATTTCATTTGTTTATTTGGAAGCATCCCCATTCTTAGTTTATTGTTTTCACGATAGCAAAACTATTTCCAGACTATGAATATGCTAAAGATATTTCTCCAAGTTTGGTTATACCTCAGCCAGTATTCAGTACGGAGAATTTCGAATGCACAGTGTCGCCAACTGTAGACGAGAATCCATTAGAAAGAACTAAAGCTTGGTTGGACGATGACATTGAAGATATTACATTCTCCAAACATGAATTAAATTACGAAACCATAAGTTCTGGTGACACAGACCATAGTCTTACTAATACAAGGCATAAGCTCAAGAAAGCAAGCAAAAGACAGAAGATAAATAAAAAAGATTCCAAAGAATTTAAAACTGATTCAAAGTTGTCATCTCCAAGCAAAGATTCTTCCAAATTTAAAATTAAACGTGATGATAAACATAAAAAGAAGAATGGCAACACAAAGACCATGAAGAAGACACCCAAAAAGAAGCCAAGTTACAACACTTTGATCAAGAATCAGTATTCATCATCTGAATACGATAGTTATCCGATGAATACGAAGAGAAAAAATAAAGAGAATCAGTCTTTTAACGTGTCGGCATCAAAACCGGCAAGTAAACAACTAAGGTTATTTTCTATAGTAATAGTCCAATTAACGTTTCATAAGTCGTGATGATTTCAGATCCCAGAAAGTTTAATAGAACTTTGTCACCCAGAATTGAAGGCTGACAAAGGCCAGTCAGGCCAGCCACGTATAACAACGAATAATACTAATGACGTTAGCCATAACATAGTTCTTGCTAACATGCCTGGTTGTGACATCTCTGCCACAGAAGAAAGTTACCTTGTTGATATTGTCATGCAAGACTTTGAGGAAACTGTGGCGTTACGCAGAACTGTAGGGACGGATGCAGAAGAAAAACCTATTGAAGCTAAGGATGACAATGGAAGTCTAAACAATGATTTCGATGAAACATTGTGCCTCAAACATGAAGTGAGCACGGAGAATGTGCAGTCACAAACTATTTTTCTTAACGGTAAATAATTTTTTATCTTTAAAATATATCGTGTCTACCGTCACAGCCGTTGAATCCATGCTTCTTATGTAATGAAGTATAGTTTTTATGTTTTCAATTTATTTTGATATTGTTTCAATTTAAATAACTCTCTTTTTAGATATAAATGAACCCAGTACGTCAAAGGGTATTCGTCACAATATTAGCACTGACGTACAGTGTGGACCAGATACTTTCGCAACTTACCCAATGCTATCCGCATCTACATCCTTAGTCAAGATACCGCCCGTATTTACTGCGGGCGTCAAAATTAAAGAAGTAAGTGCTGAGACTATAACGAAAGGAACAGATTTTGGTATATCTACAAAGGATACCAACACCACAACTATAACACCAAGATTGAGATCGGTTGGAATTAAAATAAAGGATTCTGATGTTAATTTGCATGCTAAAATCGAATCTTGTACCATGACCGTACAAGATTTTATTCTTCAAACGTCTGAAACGTTTAGTCACTCTCCAAGACGTAGTTTGGACAGAAACAGCATCATATCGTCTCCTGAAACAAGAATGTTGAAAGCCATATCGAGTAACCTGAAAACTGAGGATTCTGGATCAGAATTTTTCGAACCAAGTATCGCGAGTTCATCGAAAACTCATACATTTTTTGTAAATGCGTCTATAAATGCAAGTCGAGTTATGATTAAGTCTCCTGTGAGCAAAGATGTAATAATAGAGGCGAGTTCTAGCAAAAATCTGCGTCCTAGACTATGTTGTGGAGGTGTCCATGTCCACAGCTTTAGAGATAAAGAATCTTCTGAAGATGTTGTTTATCAAGGACAGTGGCAGCGCCATAAGCCTAAGGCGGGTACACGAAAAAAGTCATGCAATTTTACACCTCTAAGAAAAGCCAGTGAAGCAGCCGCAAAGAAAAACAGAGAGATTTCAAAGGAGAAAAAATTTAGTTCCAAGGAAAAGGTTGTTAGGAGAAGACAAGACAAAAAACAGATCGATGCAGAAATAAAGAAACCCATTCAAGTGAGAATAAAGAACCAAATATAGAGGTATTAAAAAAAGATGAACATAGCCAAACCAAAAAGCCTTTGGTTACTAGTACATTATCAAGCACAGTTAAGAAGATTCCTAAGCCAGTAAAGACTACTACCAAGGTAAATAACGTTTCCAATATTATAAGAAGAAACTATGGCATTGTTCATTAATTTTATTTTTATATTGCAGGTTGCATCTAAATTAGGAATGAGGTATTATGTCTTTTTGATTGTATGCAATATTAAAAATTACACATATTGTACAATATTATTATTTTTCTAGTGTTATCTCAAAGAACACAAAATCGACGTTTACTGTCAAGAAACCAACTATATTGTCCAATGCAGCTATTAAAAAAGACAATGATAAACCTCAGAAATTAAAGAAGAGTTACATACCCTTATACTTACGCTTACGAAGAGCTTCACTGTTATCAGACAGCGACAAAGAGAACCTTAATCAAAATATAGATTCTGCATGTGAAGCCTCCTCGGACAAGGAAAATAGTGAAAAAGTGGTGAACAAAGTGCCTACTAAGAAATCGATTACAAATGACATCAAAAAGGATTTGCTCAAATTTAGCGACGAAGTACGAGAGAATGTTAGTTACTTTGTTTTTCGCAACGAATTAGAAAATAATGTAGAATCACCAGAAGATCTATCAAGTGAGAGTACTGTAGATCCCAGTAAAAGTACTCCTAGGCCTTTGGAAACTGCGAAACGTTCCAATAGTCCTCAGTCTATGAATAGTTCCACTTGTTCGTCTCCAAACAGTATAGCTACTGTTAGGGCAGCCACCACACGGAGTAAGAATATGTCCCACAGGAGACATTCTGCATCATCTTACAAAACTAATTTAACTACAAATAGTGATTCAGATAGTGCACCAACAATGAAAAAGGTTATCAAAAGGTGCAGAAGTGCCAAAAAGACTGAGGCTAAAGAAAACGTTCCAGAATCAACACAAAACACAAACAAATTAGCTTTTAACAGTAGGCACAAAAGTGTGTATATAGCACAAATTAAAACTGAAGGGTCTCCACCGCCCAACACTTTGTCGCGACATAAGACACAAATAGCGAATAAATCAAATATCATAATAGCTGCACGGATAGACAGCGACGAAAAACGACGCCCAAATGACCCTACAGTGTCAAAGAAAAAGTCAGTAAAATCTGATACGTCTTCGGCATATGAAGATTTTATTACAAGCCAATCAGATTCTTTCGAGAGTTCAGATTCCGCGAATATGGTTCTTGTGTTGGAACCACAAGTAAATTATGATAATATTATGGATAAGCAAAATATTTCACACGTTCGAAACGAACCAACTGCGGAATGTGAGTTAGATCCCACCAGTCATTTAGTACCAGAATGGGTACAAAATTCGAGTTTACATAGTCACGCAAGCAACATTCGTGACTCTGTAAGACGGATATTGGAAGAGACACTAGATTTAATTATTAGCCCAGATGACTATAATGTCCATCATTTAGATTCTAAAACGGTCATTGAGAGTAGAGAACAAAATCGTGAAGCTTGTGAAGACAGAGATGACCCGTCAGATGTCAAATTAGCCGCTGAACCTGTCGAAACTACACAATTTTTAGAGAATGATGTAGAGACTGCTTTGAAGAGAACCTTCGACGCTGTTCCTGATGTTGACTCTGAGACGGTCAACTTAAGCTTAAATGATACAAGGTTAACAGTTGCTGATTTGGATATGCTATCATTTGATTCGATCACATCAGTTTCAAAATACTCTGAATATTTTTCGGCTGACAACGAAACCAACATGTCTTTAGAGACAGAACTGGCACCGACCATATTATCGCAAAATACGACTTCTGTGCAGGACATATTTGAACGGAAAGAACCGCACATGATTCAGGTACGAAATAGACGCTAAAATGTAATATCCTACAACTCATTATACTTTGATTATACTGCTTGTAACTTTATTTGATTAATTTTAATATTTTCGGTTTACTCACGTAACTGTTTGACGAGGAACCCCACTAGATTGATTATTTGATATTATAGAATACGCCGGGTGCACTTGCAGTGCAAGTATTCAGTGGATTTTCCCTTGACGTCGAGCCCGTATCTGGCGACCAACCTGATCCAGTCGCAGTCATAGACTCGGAAACAGGCAGTGGAGCGTTAGAGTTTGCTAGACAAGCTGTACGTATAGTCATTATTAAATTGTCGTATATTTTACAATTTGAAAAATCAATCATAATCAACTTGTCTTTATATCTGTTTTTCAGACGTCAGAAGAATTATTTATATCGGGTAGATCATCAGACAGTTTCGAGTCACGTCTAATAGATGATGATACGGTAGTTCCGAACTGGTTGTTTCAACTTATCAGTCAGCAGCAGTCTGTAAGTTTGATGTTTCCCTTGGTATTTTATAATCCCTCTTTTTATTGATATTGTTAACGTAAATTTAAACTTCTTAGTTTTATGCTGAATGGAGCGCCTAGAATATTTACGTTTTTGTTTTCAGGTACTCCATTAAGCATAACGAAATATAAAGTGCCTGGGCGACCCTTACAAACACACCCATATACCTGATACACCGTAGGGCATGCACTCTCTGATTACGAGGGCTGCATACTACATTTATTAAGCTTTGATTAGGTGGAAGATGATCGGCAGCCAAACCTTCTTGGTCCTGCGGGCGCACCACCCAACGAACCGATGTATGACGCGAATGGAAACGTCATTGAGCCCTCCATGATTGGCGTCGGTGCTGGCGCAGGTGACGGACGAGGCATGCACAGTGACCACTCGCAAGATAGCTCGGGGAGAGGCACGTCACTTAGTTCCAGTGATACCTCATCAGGACCGCAGAGTGAAGTCAGCGTGAGTGGAGTCTTGACGTTAAAATTAATTTAAGAATTTTATCTTAATGGAAATGGGAATTTGATTACCGTTAGGATGTTTCGAATTGGTTGTAATGTCGTCTCATAATCGCATAATCGTATCATCGTCAGTTTTTAATCTAATACTATATGCATCAAGAAAACGTTTTGAATAGATTGCTTTTTGTTGGCAGACCATTTTAATTGACCCAGCATTTACAACTCCGTTCGACCTCCTACGGGATCCTATGTCCAGTTCTGCCGTGTTGTCGACTGAGCCTCACTCATCTGATCGGACTTACAGAATAGACAGTAAGTTATCGACAAAATTTTATTAAATTGTTGAATACAGTCAAAGTAAATAAAGAAAAAAAAATGGTTATTCAGAAATGTAAATTACTAAAAATATTTTTAAATAAAATGTATTTTCCAAATGTTGAATACGTGTTTCTTATCTCTTCTATGAAATGTATGATTCTTAACAACATTTGACAAATTCTTTGTCATAGTGGGCAATTTTGACCTGGACCAGTAGACGAGTAGAAATAGTGTGGCCACAGCATTATACACGTAGTTTATTAGTAGAAATATTTTTATAAGGAATACAAATTATATTTAGTTCAGTATTCATACAAAAAACTTCGATTGCAGGTGACCTTCGCGATGACAGAACGAGAATTCTAAACGGAGCGAGTGATGTTGACGCCGATGTGAGCTCCATTGATACGGATGTACCTGATCTGTCTGATAACTGAACATTATCTAACATTGTTTGAAGTCATGGCATTCTGTACAAACGAATAAAAATACCTTCACAACTATTTATTGTATTGTGTTAGTGAAGGAGGATAAATACAATTTTAGGACAATTTCTAAATTAGAAGTCGTATGTTTTGGGTCATTTAAGTAACCTTCAAATGGGTTCATTGTTTAAGTAAACCCTTGTATCTGTTTGTACAGCTTTGCCCGACTTGTCATCCAGTGTGCATGATATATGATTTTTTCAAGTTTGCTAAGGGTGATTTTGTGATACCGGGCGAAATTTCAGATTTTTTAGGAAAACGATGTTGTAGTCGGCGCCTCGGCGCGTTGTAGATATTGGCGTTCAAATAAATTATTTGTTATCTTGGTATTCAATGGTTTTATTTGTTTAATGGTAGTAAAAATCTAAGCATGACAATAATAGAGGTAATAAAATCTTTATCTATCTTACTGCGACATATCTACACCAGTTTTTTAACCAACCGTAACAAGTGTCTACTCTCCCTGTAGCAAGTATCTACGCCCATCGCGCATATCTACGTCCACCGCAGTATCTAATCCTGCCGTAGCAAGTTTCTTTGCCTGCTGTCGTAAGTATCTATGCTCACCATAGCAAGTACCTGCGCCCGCCGTGGCAAGTCTACGTTTACCGTAGTACCTACGCCCGCAGTAGCAAGTCTCGTATACCGTAGTATCTAGCTGCCGTAGCAAGTTTCTATGATTACCGTAGGAAGTGAACCCATTGCGTCCAAGGTCACTCCCACCCTGTCCTTCTTCCAGAAAAAAAATATTTCATGGAGCAGAATAACTAGGGGGTGCTAAAAATTTTGTTGTTTGCCTCTAGTTTTTGAAATATTTCGAAATATTCTACTGATCAAGAACAAGACCAATGCTGAACAATTTTTAGGTAACATTTCGGGGAGTATTCAATATTGACTTTAGAAATGTTAGCATGATTTTAGATTTAGAATTATGAACTTTCTAAACTCAATATAATAATAACACACATTTATCGAGGAAATGTCTTTTTTGCATTTATTCATATTGTACAATCTTATAATATGATTCATTCTGCAAAATTTTACAGGCGAGCAAGAATTCATATATAAAACAGTAGCTCTTTCGTATTGTACATAACCATTTTACCAGTATAGTGAAAACATGCGTATAGTTTTTTTTAGTTTTAGGATAATAAATTACTTAAATACTAATTTAAGTTTGGTTCTTTATTAATACAATATCAATAGGATTGCACTATCCTGTAAAGTTATTGGAACGTACCAAAAAACATTCTATGGTGCTTCTCTCGATGCCGATGAACTTTCTATGCTAAATTTACAATTATAATTATAACTTTTAATATAAAACAATTTCTTGTGAAGCGATTACACAGATACAAGGCAGGCATGACATATTGGCTCAGACTTTCTCATCTCACTTCATTAGTTCAATTTATTCGATAATTTATTAGGTAACGAGCACACGAGCTTATACCGTAGTACTATTTTAATGAAGTTGTCAGCTCAACGTTGTCTAGCGCAAATGAACGGCTCGTCTGCAACGTCTCTCATGAAGGAAGTGAGCTAAGAGAGTGTTTTCATTAGATACAATTTATTTATTAACAATTTTATTATACGTCGTTTATAAACTGCTGCTGTTTGTGTTCGTACTTTATTTATTCATATCTATTATATTACCAAACTAATTTATTATTTTGAACGTAAACCGCTTGTTATTTGTTATTCAATACTAGTGTCTTGAACACGGAACTTTAGAACGCATTAGAACAATTGAAATGCGACTTATTTGTAGTAGTTTAGTTAGTATTACATCAAATATTTTCATTATTATTTTAAGGCAGTGAAACACCCAACTTAAATTGAAGGACAGTTGGGGACGAGATTACCTAGCTAAGATTAACTAAGTAACATATCACTAGACATTTTCACAGGCGACCTCTACACAATGGTCGCTTTATATTTTACAATATTTACACATCTTAAACACGTATGTTAGTGAAACATTGTCGTATCAATACGAGGGAGTCACAAACATTAAAGCAGGACGCGGTCGGTACTCTATATACCACTCAGTCATCGAAAGTCCATCGGCTTATTGTAGATATCATCCTAACACCCCGATTACAAATGACAAAACGAAAATACTCATACGTCTATACAATAACAATATAAATATTTCTCATGAGTCAATCTTGTCAAATAATAAATCTACATAGAAGAAATCTAACACTCTGAAATAAAGGGCAACAATTTTTATAATCTGTGAGACACGCATCCCTTTGCGAACACTTTTTAAAAAACAATTTTTATTTATTTCATTTATTACGACTAGATTAGCATTTGTAATTATAACATTAATAATATCAATTGTTCAAAACGATAGATTCACATATATATGTGGAGTTTAAACGGAATTATTAATACAGGCGTATTTATTAACAAAGTATAGGTACTATAATAATGGACATACTGCACAAAAATGACACGAGTCGCGTTTCAGCGTAGACACTTTGTACTAGTTAACTATAACAGAGGTAAAATATAAAAGCTATCTTATAACCCGTTCCTGCCCTTCGCAACAAACAACAATGATCAAAATATTGAGGGAGTAATATCCGATTCGACTAAAGGTACCGACGAGCCGCGTGTTTGGAAACTCCTTTGTTCCATCTCTTTTAAAACAACGCTCATCCGAACCTTTCCAGTGTTGGCATCATACGTCTATATAGAAAACTGAAAACTATTTCGATATTCAGTGCTCGTACTATCACTAACAAAACTGGTAAATATTAGAAACATCATATTTCAACGTTTTTTATACTTCATTTATCGGCTTAACACTTTGACGATGACACACTTAATCCTTCTAAAGTCGACTATCCTTAATATTTATTGGTTTCTGCCAAACACGCGTCGTCCCTTAGAGAAATGAACAACACCCTATGCAATCACACAGTTCTAATAATATTCTCATTTTTTCATCATGTTATCACAGAAAATCATGTATTTACAATTTTGTCGTACTAAAGTAACCTACATCATGCTTTGCAACAAATGTATTTGATGGTGTTGAACGATTTCTTCTTTGACGCGACTACTGTACTGGACACCACTGACATATTCATAGTGAAGTTTATAAATTAGTGAACCGTATAATACTTACAGAATTACATGACTAACGTTTTGTTAATGCACTTCGTTTAAGTATTTGCACGATTTGATGTTGAGTACATTAGTCGCAGCAAAGATGACAGCTAACAAGTGACTAGTATGACAATGTGGCATGAAGTAGTGTATCGTGTATCAAGTGGGATCAGGACGAATATCGGATTTATTATAATACGGTACAGTCATCGGCAGAATTGGTTTTAACCGCTTTTGCATAGGTGTTGATTCAAATGAAGGTGATCCTTATCAAGTTTTTATCGTTTTATGACTAAATATTTAACTGTTTTTATTACTAAAGTTGTCAACCAATTCTGATGTAGAGTGTACAGAAGATATTTCGGTTTTGTGCCTGGTGACAAGTTTTAGTTTTGTATGTGTATGAGATAATCTGCCATCGACAATAGATTCCTAAACGTGTAAATGAAGGTGTCGCACAATGTTTTAATCTATTAACTCTACGTCATATATTTGAACTGTTGAAACTTACAAATGCATTATAGTTATATAACTTGTAATATTCTTTAAAATGCTGTCGCTAGGCATAATCAATATGTCGATGACTGCATTATTTCTAAGTGGGAGTATCTTGTTATTCCTTAGTATAATAATAATTATAGTCAACAAAACTTTGGCTCGTCTTTAATTTACATCCTAAATGTTACTTTGAGGTATATTTTAGAGTTAACTCACAAAGCACTAAGATACTCCCACTCGGTACAAAACTGGGCCTCGGAATACATTACATGGCTCGAGTGGCCAGGCGACAAAACCTTTAAACAATACTCAGTACACGATTTAACAATTTGGGTAATCATTTAATGCAGAAATATATTTTCAAAGTTTACACACAATTCATCTTTATTTAGTTTAATCGTATTTAAATTTAAATAACGTAGGTATAAAGCACTTGGGGGAAGGACAGCAAATTCAATAAAAAATGTTTAATTATTATTTAGTATATATTAACTAAGTAAAAATTATTCGCTATGTAAATATTTTATACAATACTAGTATTAATTTGTCTGACGATGAATCGCTAGTGTTCTCCCAACGTGTAAGTTGAATACGAAACGGCGTCGGGCGGGGTCGGGCCGGGGCCCGCGCCCTCTCACCACGCGATATAACGTAGACTTTACGTAGTGCAAATTTAATATAGAAAGTTTACTTTTACAATACAGACTAGTAATTTCATTTTATGTAAAAATCCTAGCGCAAACGAGTCGTCCGGCACCGTCTCATACCTCGATCGCCCTAACCGTAATACAAATCAAGGAGTAAAATTTTAGCGAATTAAAAATTAAATTTTCCAAAACTTCGTAAATACTAGAATTCGGAGGCGGGCCGCGGCGGGCCGGGAGCGACGTCCGAACCGCTGAGCAACGGGAGTCGTCTATGTACACACGGTCGCCGAGTATAAAACGAGATCGTTCGGGGCGCTCGCGGGCGCGTCAGAAGGAGTGCGGCGCGGCGGGCGCGGGCGCGCGCCGCTAGCACCAGTCGTCCTCGTCCGAGTCGGAGTGGCGTGCGCGCGGCTTGTACCCGTTGGGCAGGCGCGGCGCGGGCGCGGGCGAGGGCAGCGCGCGCGCGCCGCCGCCCCGCCCCAGCGCCAGCGCCGCCTCGTAGCTCAGCGGCGCCTCGTACGCGCGCCCGGAGCCCCACTCCGCGTCGTAGCCCCGGCCGCGTCTGCACACGCCACGTCATTAAGCCATCCTCACACAGCACTTGTTTCGATGCTATATTGCATGCGGGGACGCCACAGTACAGTAAAAACAAAACAACTACAATACGCCGAAAAAAGATAGATTAAGCGGAAGCTCTATAATTACCCAGTTATCTTCTACTTGAAATTTACCTGCACTTTAGCACAAATCGAAAAAGCTCTCGTCAAAATATGCACGGATATCCATTCGTACTTAGCAGCAGAACAATCTCTGCCACAGGTCAAGCTCAAGATAGAATTAGCTGATATTACTGAGTTAACGTACTTTTTAATAACTGTCTAGCATAGCACAAGTTACTAATACATTACTGTAATCTTTGCAAAACAACAGAAACAAGTCTTGTTATATTGGCATGCTTTGAAACACTGCCAGTAGTATCTCACAAGTCACAATTCTATCATTTCATTATGATAATTATCAAAATATTTAAGACTAACTTATTTTGCCAATTCAGGTTCATTTAAATTAGCAAAGAGATATTGTTTTAGAGTACGTACCTTTCTCTAGATCTATAATCTCGGTGTATCAGTCTTTCAACTTCTCGGCCGTACTCGTACTCATCGTGTTGAGGCTCTAACGGTTCTCTGACCGTGTGCCTTAGCGATAACTGGAACAATATTTCAAATTATGTTATATGGCTTGAATTTTGTGAAATGAGTACACATTTTTGTTGTGTTGATGAGCGTTATCCGTGGCTCACAGTCTCGTTCTATCGTTTTCGCGTCCTTAGTGAGTTAGTAGTGTCATAAAACGCAAAATACTTACGTGCGAGGGGCTGTGGCTGATTCTGGTGAAGGGTGGCTGCTGCTTGACCTGTAGCGTGGACGGCTTGGTGGGCGTGGGAGGGAGCTGCCGGCCGCGGCCGCGCCGCGCGCCCTCGCGCTCCCACGACCGGTCGCGCCACTCCCGCCACTCGCGGTCCCGCTCCCGATCCCGTTCACCTATCGGGGCCCAAACTGCTCTCTGAATCATTTGATGTTCTATACTCGAGTCAACAACGAGTTCGAGCTATGCGGTAATGATAAATATGATATAATAATTCATAAATAACAGGACGTTAGAATCAAATCAAGGAAAATAACAGGGGTAGAATCAAAGTATACCTATTTAGATGAATAATAAACAGATGTGCAAACAATTTTCTTGTGGATGTCCACCATGCTTTCCGTCTACACTCGCGCCGCTTTCATACATCTACAGACGTGCAAAGCCGGATCGCATCAACATCAATTAACTAATAATTTAGACACATTGCTATTCCAGCAAAGGGTCTTATGGGTCTAGAAATTTTAACAGATAGTGTGCCAATTGGAATTTTGTTTCAGACCCTTTGCTTTACAATCAATGACACTCAACATAAATAGTAACGCCCCACTTAAAATTTTGATAACAGCTGATAAGGTTCATGTTGTTCATGCCTTTTAATTTTTGTATCACGGGTAGAGGATGTATGTCCCTAGTTGGTTGATGTAATAAAGGTGAAGGTTTGTGATGTACTGTTGACAATATTTGCGAGTTTCAGCCTAGTCATAGTTAACAAGTTACCGTAACGTGCCTGTTCTTACACCTAAGTACGGAATGTTGTACTCGCAAAGCAAATATCGTGATGATAGTCAGTGTGGTATGTGAGGTCCGTTGTGTGTGGCGAGTGGATCTCACCGTAGGTGTGGTGTGGCGGGCTGGGCGACCGCGAGGGCTGGCTCAGGCTGGTCGTGGGGTGCGGCGCCCTCCACTCCTTCCCTGCTGTCAGGAATACCTTCATGTACCTTCCACCACGGTTTACCCTAAGCCCGTCGGACTACCGACCTTATTTCCTTGCTCACAAAGGTGACTCTAAAAGTTTTGGGTGTCTGTCATACGTGGTACAAAATGTAAGGATTTGATGGACACGGATTTGGATCGACAGGGATAGGTTTCTTGGTTGATTAGCTGTGTGTCCAAAGTTGTTACTACAATTGTTGGAGAGCCGAGAGCACAATACTTATACATAATATACAATAGGTATAAACTGTTTATTACAATATGAGGTTTTCTTTGATGTATCTATTAGTAGCAGGCTACTGCAGAGAATACAAAAATAAATACAAAATCTTTTAAGCTTTTGCATGCTGCATGATTTATGTGATATCTTTGAAGTGCATGCGTTCAGGCACCTCTGTCGCGAGGTGCCCATGATCAAAGCAATTGTATTATGTGCAAATAGGAGCAGATATGTTTTGGTTGGGCACCAGTATTTTAGCATGCAGCAGGCAAATTAATTTCATTTGTTATAATATAATACAGGGCAGTTTATATAAACTTTTACATTATATAATGCTTCATTTAGTGTACGTTGCGGCTCAACTATTGCCAATCTGGAATGACTTACAACTAAGAAATATGAGCGGCCGGTGAATAAAATATTAATGATACCGCTAACAATTAGGTCACGAGCATAATATAGGAGCAGTCGTTAAATAGCTAACGCTACAAATATAATTTTACAAGACTAGCCTTGTGAGAATGTTTTATTAAAGCTAGATTTTACAATCTAAGTATCTATGTTGATGATCTTATCGATTTGCAGCGTAACTGCTTCGCTCGCTGACGTCTTATAACTACAACTACTAACGTATGATTATCTACAACTACAGTTAAGCTAGACTTCCCATCTTCTCACAAAACTTTCAGAGTACCTTCATGAGAAGAAAAATGTTTGCAAAACTGTTTCAGTTGGTTAGTTGAAGCTAAATAAAACATATTTGTATGTAACGGTAAATGTTTTAGAATGAATAAATAATACTACAGGAATAACATAAGAATAAATAAATTATTAGCATGTAGCTCGTTTGTAAGGCTTATTTTATAAGTAGGTATGATAAATATTGTTGAAACGACGATGTCTTATCAAAATTGCAATAGCATCAAGCCATTTACTTGGCGATCGACAAATCTGTTGATAGACTATTGAATAAATAAATACACGGTATGATCTAAAATGAATATCTAGTAACTAATATGTCTAGTTAGAACACGTCAGGGGTTATCACCAGATTTGCCTTGTTACATGTTTACATATCTGTTGTTAGAACGGGTACTTGATGATGGTAGTTGTTGCTTGTCTAGCGAGGTAACGAAACAATCACTTACCATGCGGGTGGTAGTAGTGGGGCGCTCTATGCGTTCGCCCGTGTCTTTGATGTTCGTGCTTTACTATCTCGACGACGTTGCTGACGGTGTCGGAGAATCCAATATCGTGATGATAACCTCCGTAGTGGCCTCGTCTTCTTGGACTTGGTGTCCGTCTGCAGAATAAATCGAATTAAATTAAAGAAATACTAAATGGCAACATTCATTTACCATGCATGTTACCAATCATGCAACACCGAGAAAATCGGGGAGAGAAATTGGTTAGTCCTGAAGAAAGTACATTCGGTTAGTAGAAGATGTGTATCATGGCACATACCATTGTTCACTACGATAACTTTGAGATCAATGGACTCTTCTTCGATGACACTATAAACATAAAAAGGAAATAACAAACTGAACAATAAAATAAACAGAACGTGATATTTTTCTGTAGTAAAATATTTACCTTAAACTCGATGATCTTCCATGGTGACCGTTCTGGTATGTGTGAGGTGCTTGTAACCGCCCCTCGTCCAATGACTCCATTGAGGCGTGGTGCGATCCTTGCAGCTCCAATACCTACAACAGTGCTTGTATTAGGGCCGAACAGACAGCCAGAAAGTTGTCAAAGCGTTAGTTTGCAAGCTAATTAAGACTCATTAGACTTACTGTCCCATATTTACAAAATTTCTGAATTGTTATAAAAACAAAAATACCAAATCATGCACACGAAAGTGCTAAACCTTGCATTCCATGCAACAGTCCGTGCTTGTGCAATATTATACTATACGCTACTTACCCAGTTCGTTAAAGATAATCTATGTTTTAAAATCTACAAACATGCTAAGTTTAGTTCACATGCAAAACGTATTCCGGTAAAGAAACGACATGTCCTGGTGTCATGTATTATGACTGTTATGTAAGTATGTTCATGTATTGATTGTGAAAGTGCTATGTCTAAGAAAAGTTTCAAATAGTCATCCCTAATGACAGAAGAGTCGTTTAAAAACCATTCCCTATAAACATCGAAGAAATAGAAAAAGAAAGACAAAAAGTACTACAAGATTGGCATAGAAAAACAATCATCTATTACTGAAATTGTTTACCTAAACATCAACAACCATCTGTAAACTTTAAATTGTACGATTAATACTTCGAGTCACATAAATTGATTAACTATGAGCCTAAGGCCCTAAGTTACTCTGTTTACGACAATAATGCCTAGAAAACGGTTAATATTAAGTCTAACAACAAACATTATAATCCTATGATATCAATGTTAGTAAACACCCAAAACAAAGCTTTGAACATAAAATTACAACATCGACTATCTATGACATAAGAAAATGCATCGATGTATTGTTTTACTAAAGGGGGACACCCATTTAGCGGATACACATATAACATCACATTTTCGACCAACATCACGTATGGGGTATAAGATTGTCCAATTGTCACTTTACTCATATCAAATATTTGTAAAAAAATTTTGTTCGTGAATGATATTGGTGGGGACATCGATTGCACTAGACAATGGCTATCATGGCTCTGGCTGATCAGGTTTACAACAGTAATGATCGAGTCAACATAATCACCGTTTCACTTAAGGTAGTCACCTTTTTATTGTTCCTGAAACAAAAGAGAACCGCAATGAAGTACACGGTGTTAGGTCAAACACGATTTTCATAGTTTTTATGTAATCATTGACGGTACCTACTTAAAAAAGAAGCAACGGAAAATAGTATTGTTACATTTTTAATCGCAATTTTGTAGCCATATTGATACTAATAACATAAATGGACAACTCGTAGTTGTGCAATAAGTTAATCGCTGCTTAATACGTTGCAATATTTTTTTTAAGATTTTTTCATAATCCATGGAACTAATGTCATAGAAGGGCTTTATTTTGTTGTTTAGTAAAGTTAATAAAGTAAGATTACTCACTTGAGCGACTTTCTGTTGCCGCGCCTGGCGAGGTTGGCTAGCAGATGCGGGTCTTCCGGATGTCCATCAGCGTTGACGGGCCCTTCATGGCTGAGCGAGCCGGCCCGCGAGCCAGGGCCCAGCCCCGCCGCCACGTCCATCAAGCAGTTAAACAGTGACGCCTTCTACACACGCACCCCACATCACGCATCCCCCCCACACACGCACACTTGCGCATGCTCATGTCACACAGCGTCCAAGCTCAATAGGACTCAATAGTCACTAACGGCTAAAGCCTACATGAGTTTGCGCAAACATCCCATACATCATGTCCATGCTGGAGTTCTCTTTAAGTAGTGTCATGTGTGTATCGTCTGTGTTAGAGATCCAACGGATGGACAATGGACATACAACCGAATTGAGAATGTATATATTGTAGTGTATGTGAGGAATTCAGCTACAGGTATCTGAGAAAACAGCTATCACACGTTAGTTGTATAATGTTAGAGTAAATTTTGTTCAGTCCATGTCGGTAAAACCGTGAAAGAGCTGAAATTACAAAGCATCTTGTACCGAAACGAGTGCTATATCATTATAAAAACCATGTGCGCAAAATTTGAAGCCAGAGGCAGAGGTTGCGAGTTCACGTTTGCATTTTACATCTCAGAAAAATATATTACGGTAGTCAAGTGACAAAACTTTTATATTTCATATTCTCCAGCATGCGCAGACTTGAGAGTAAATAATGAACGTTATTTTTATAAATTCTTATGCTATGGTATAAAATCATAGAAGGCAAATAAGAGCGGTAGGTAGCAAGAAAGCGCAATATTTTAACGTTTCTTCATCACCAGGCTTCTAAAATGGTAAATATCGATTGAGCCAAAATGTAATCAAAAATAAACTTTACGATAACAAAAGCGACAGAATTAAATAAATATCGGTTGAAAAGTTTGAAACGCATTTATCATGCAGGCTACCTAAGACTTGTTTAAAATAAATGGATCACAATAATCTAAAATGCAAAGTGAAGAGACTGAATAGTTTATGTAGGAAGTAGCAAGAGGCAAAGGGGACGATATGACACACATTGGTAAGACAAACAAATCTACAAACAGTAGGATATTCTATCTACGCGACACGGTATCAAACATTGTAACACACACATTCTTGTTACTACTACATTATTTTGCAACTATAGGACAGGTATTTATGTCGTGGTTTACAAAGCCCTGACGGACACTTGATCGACAAACGTGCCACACCTGCACAAGTTTGCCTAACTAATGTGTTATCAAGTGCGTCACTAGTACTAAATCTAATGTCTTTAATCAATTCAATCGCTAAACTACAGTTTTATTTCTTGGATTTATATTTCGACCATTCATTTAGTCTATATAGGCCATCGTGTATTATTTAATGTATGTTTTAAAAATAAATTTATTTAAACACAATGCGAGAAGAAATTTATGATAAAGAAAAATATCTAGAATAGTGCAAGAAAAAAATTATTCAAAGTTTCGTTCCGTAAAATATTTTAATACTACCGGCTGAATGGCCGTAGGGCTATTCTCGTTGAATGCCTGAAAAGTAAACCACCAATGTAGTCGACTCGTTATGAGTCGATTTCAACTAAAGTGATTCTGTATTGTTGTACTCTTTGTTATACAGACATTTGTTCATAGGGAGCCAATCACAAGTTATGAATACTCAACACAGGAACAAGGTTATCGATACAATTGAAAAGTTTTAACATGGTTCTGTAAATGTACACAACAATACAACCACGGGTAGACAACACAACCAACTCTATTGAACTAACTATAATGTTTCCAAATTGTAATCTAATGTGGGGAATTATAGGGGGCCATCAACAACCACTACTTGTAAACGTGTAGTATTACCTACCCACGTAACGGTTACATTTGGCTCAAAGTGTACATATATACATACTGGCGTAAGCCACACGAATTTACTCTGGCTTCATTTGGATCTACTAAACTTACTATATTGATAATTTCATCAAATATTCCATTATTACACATAAATACAAGTGTGAATACAAATTTACTCAGAGGTGCGAATAAAATGGCAGTTGTACTTACCGGAACACCATTCTGCTTGAACCTTGTCGATCTCCAGCTCTCGAGGATCAGTAGTCCAGCGTATATCTTCCCAACTGTCAGTTTCCCAGCGTTGAGTACATCGTTTCGAGGCACCAGCAAGTCGAGCATCTTCTTCGCTTGTAATGGCCATATGTGGGTTATCGTTTCCCTTAATTCCTCATCTGCTTGGTCCATCTCGTCCGCTAGAATATAAAGCTCACATATAGGTTCTGTTGTAGATTTTTAGACAGTAAAAATTGATATCCAATATTTTTTTTAGCAAATTAGCATTATTAAATACTGGTGAATCGGTGATACTTACGAGATCTCATCTTGATGTTTAAATTTTCTCGTATTAAGGCAAATAGTGTTGTTGTAAAATTAACTTTCCCCTCATCGTCTAGCGGCATATTCATTCTAATAAGCTTCTTATATGCTAGTCTATTTGGACATTTGTTACCAAACCCCAGAGGTGGATCCATATTCTTCAACATATCATACATTTCTGTATAATGGATCTTACCCCTGAAACGAAATACGATATTAAGAATCGTGTCATAGTGGTCAAGTTTATAGATCGTGAGTCAGTAATGTTCTGAATAATACTAACGTGGCGTTTGGATCGTATTCTGCCCATATTCTAACAAATTCATCAAGATGATGTGCTCCGAGGATGGACGAGTCCCTCGTTAAGTAGTCAAAGTTATCCATAATTACGGCAACGAACAAATTCAACATCTGAAAGCATATCACGTATTGAAAGATGTTATGAACCCATGTTAAAAATGTATCAATTTTATAGAAGTCATTGTTATACTCACAAGAAACGAACAGAAGAATATAAAAGATACGAAGTAGGCGTAGGCGAGCGTACTTCCACATTCTTCGTTAGAGGCCTTTCCTGCTGCTATGTCGCACTTGGCGGGTTTGCGGCAAGCCAACATTATGTTTGGCCACGACTCACCCGTCGCGCATCTACACATACAGTGGCTCACAGAAACCGATCTCATGTTCAAAAAACCGTTCAAGAAATCACAAATGCAATGAAGAATAGTATAAAAAAGATGAGCATTTCCAGAAGTAGTATAGATAGTATATTGATATTGTATTGATCAATTCATGATAAAAATCGATTTGCAACAGACTGTTCTACACGTTTCCACAACTAAGTAACAGTGAGAATGTAAGTGATGAAGTAGTTCTTTATAGCTGAAGTGCATGCATGAGACGTGCTTGATACACAAATGGTTATACTATAATACTCCCATATTCCATCGAGAAGCGAATTCGTTACGAGTATTTCTCTACAAGTTCGTAACATTTATACTACACGTAGGTATTGCTCTATTGCTTTGATTTGAATTGATTGGAGCAGTCTAAATGGTGTTTTTGATATCTAGATGTCTGTATATTCCTATGTATATGTTTAAGGTATGTCCTTTGTCTGGAGTTACTTGTATTCAATGTTCCTTACCTGAACAGTAGCATGAGTGCTTGAATGAAGCTTCGAAAATTGTTGTGTCTGTTCATGTCAGACTCTGGTGTTAATTCTATATTGCCAAACACCTGTGTCCAAGCAGATACAACACAGTAGGTCAGCTTTATATGCAAATAATAACACGTAGCCCGACTCCTATGCTTAACCCCACAAACAAACGCTACCTAATGACGTATCTATCTAGAACTAGCACTAGGGTTACGACAAACGATATCAAACAAGGGTACCAAACTATCTAGAGATACAAACAAGAAGCAATCTCAAAGTTAAGGACACCAATTAGGATATTGTCACCACTAAGGATTGTCTAAATCTACAATTTGATTATATGAATATATATATTGATGAGAGTAGTATTGCCAATGATAATGATAGTAAGTACATATGTAACACTTATAGTAGAGACAGATTTTCGGCAGTGGCCGCAAGACTTAGTAACAGCTACGTCTTTTGTACTCTCACCGAAATAGTAGCAAGAGTGCCGCCACGAAAGATTGGAAGTTGTTATGCCTGTTGATAGCATCATCTGGATCATATTGTATGTTTCCGAAAACCTGTCATTAGAAACTTATCAATACCGTTTTATATTTAATTATGTCCAATCTTAGAATGTACTCACACTACTCATTACTGGTACGAGTCCGTCTAAGATGAATTGTCATTATTATAATCTCATTCATCTTAGGCTGGCTTATAAAGTTTTTGAATTTTAAAATAAAATTCTACTTCACTAAATACGATTAGGTTTTGGAATAAGTAATGGAATTAGGCATAAGGTTGACAATACTTGGGTTATCTAGGAATATTTTAATTTTATCTATTATTTAGTACTATGATTGTTAAATGGACTAGAATACGCTATGCTCGACTATGTTTTTCTAACAAGAGGAAAACTAATTATGTTTTCTGATATTTGTACGAGCCCCTCAAAAACTATTCTATGTTACCAGGGGAGGATTTACAACATTATCACAAAAGGATTAGGATTCATATTTCTACGGAGAATCCACATCCTAGCATTACGCTAGTATTACCAAGACCTAGGTATTTCTATGAGACCCTAACGCTACTAACTATAAAAAATGTACAAACTAGGAAACTTTATTCTGACCACAACTAGTTTCATTAGTAAACAATTAATTACGTATTCAAAAATCTATAAAAACTATTTCAAGTAGAATAATATATAAAAAATACCCCCAAAAGTACCTATCACATATTTCGTTAAAATTCCTTTATCATTTAAATATTTTAAATTAAGTTGTATTAGAAAGAGAATTAATTAGGAAATTGATTAGGAATTGAGAATTTGAGAAGTAACAGGAGGAATTCCAACAGACCTGCATCCCGATGATGGCGTAGATGAAGAATAGCATCGCGATGAGAAGGCACACGTAGGGTAAGGCTTTGAAACTCTGCACGAATGTCCAGAGGAGTATCCGAATGGTATAACCCTGTCGGAGCAGCTTGATCAGTCGCGCGGCTCGGAACAGGCGAAGGAAACCGACGTTGAATGTGTTCTCCTGCGAATGACACAACAAATTACAGAACCTAACTAAAATTACCTACTTTCAAAATAATAAAAAATATCACTCCAAAATTTCATCCACTTTATTGGAACAAACGTCTCAAAACAAGCTGAAATTTCAGCCAGCATACTCCAATCTAGAATTCCAAAATTTAAAACTAACCACAACGTTCAAATAAAACTAGTCAATGAGGTAATTACTAGAATAAAATTCCCAAATAAATAAAAAAATAAATTTTGAATAAGATAATGAAAAATATGTAAATATAATAGTAATGATAATTTTTATTTAACCAGCTACTGTTTGGTAGAGTATAGAACAAAATCCAATACGCTTTTATAAAATAAAAAAAAATTATATACTTATAAAAATCTAGCAATAGTAACGATAAATTTAAATGTTCTAAGGTTTCATGGAAATAACACACCAATTTATAATTGTTATAGCTAAACACAATTGGTCCCTAGCGAACAACGGTACCTACGGTATAACTACAAAACTGCTATATATCCTAATATTCTAAAAATATTGTCTAGCACTACTGGTATTGGAGCACAGTCCAATAGTATGTACACAGTCTGTCTAAACCACTGACCAATCCGTTACAAAAATCTAAGATTCCTAGCAAAATCAAATAGTTGATTTGTTACCTGCTGACAGGATATGTCAGCACAGTTTTCAGCGAGGTCGGTCTGTAATCAGGATAGATCCTTAATCTTCATTTTCATCATAGTTAAATATACTTATAAAATATACTTATAAAATTGCCAGCAGCAAAAAAGGATCGGGTAAGGCGAAAAATAAAATTAGTAGAACAAAAATATAAGTAGAGAAGCTGAGAACGATAAATATAAGGAGATATACAATACTTACGCCAAACTCCATAATGAGGGCGTCAATAATACTTCCAATGACCGTTATGAAATCGAATGTATTCCAAGGGTCTTTGAAAAAATTCTGGAAACAGACCGATATGTTAGCATACATTCTGTAAAGTCATAAAATATTTTATATAAAAAATAATAAATTAGGAAATCAGTATACAAATGTACACTTTCCATTAATAGACTGTTTCAAGATCAAAGGACTTTTTAAACAAGGAAAGGAATGAGGAAATCTCTCTTTAACTCTTTTATCTATGCAAATACATAAAATGTTATTGATAAATCTAATAAAAGTTAATGCATTTAAAAACCTATGTCATATTAAAAAGCGTAATCTCTGAAATTCTCTATAAAATGAATTCTAAATTTAAATATATTCAAGTCAATATTGAATATTAATAGCTAGGCTAAAATATTTATAAAATAATGATAGTGTATTGTGTTAGGCGCACACGATTGTAATTGCACATTCCAATGCATTCGTTACTTTCAAATAAGTACATTTGCAGCACAAACTTTAATTACTCTCAAATCAAATACATTTCAACAAACTTTCTTGCCTACAAATTGATTCTTGTTTTACATACCCATGGCTTCTTCATTTTAAATAAATAATCAAGCTATCATGTTCTTATTAAATGATAAAATAAATTATTGATTAATTAGTATAAAAATTCAAAGTGTGTTAAATTCTTACCGTACACCCGAAGGCGATCAGCTTCAAAACGGTCTCGAGAAGGAAGAAGGTCGTAAAGACGAGGTTCATGAATGTTAATATGTCCATGAGTAGTGGTGGAGCCTCGTGAAACTACCACAAAATCAATACCATTTTTTTAAACCTTAACTCAAATCATTATCAAATTAATTCAACTTAAATGCAAGACCACCATTTGGCAATAGTACCTACTTTCTTTTATTTTACAAAACATTTTTATTTTAAATACAAACTTAATATGAATTTAACACAATACTGTATGTTCTTGCATTTGAGTTTGTATGATTAAAAATAATTTTATCTATCCGATATTATAATCTAATAAAACAATGTATTGTTATGTTGACATATTTTATGTAGACGTGGGTGTGTTAGTATTATTATTTGTGTTATGTTCCTTCGTTGTCGATGAGTATCATGTGTCACTGAGATGTATTGCGAGACTTGTGGCGGGGTGCTCGTGCGGCATGCTGTCCCGAATGTACAAACATGCGAACAGGTGTTATATGACAGACAACACTGATTACAGGAAAATATATCAAACAAACTTCATACTGACCTTTTCAACCGCAGATCTCCGCCAGATTTTAAAAGATCACAGTACTTACCTCTTGAAACGCTCGGCAAGTATGGATTAGTAAAATCGGGAGAAATACAACATTATAACGCGTGTATACACATACAATAGTGCTACATGCAGCAGGAGAAGAAGCCATGCTTAACAATTATTGCAAATAAATCTTTACAATCATCGTCGTCAGAGAGAAACTAATACTGGATAATTGGGAAGGGAGAGTAATTACACGGCTGGAAATAATCCCATACAGTCATGTAAATAGATAAAACAATCACGTTAATAGCAGAAAGAGTACATTTGTACCTATACCGTATTCATTGACTTCCATCATGTCGTAGTATGTGTCGGTCGACAGTCGATACATTGTGTTTGTGTACTTACTTTGACACCATAAGCGATGATTTTCAACACCGTTTCCACAGAAAACATTCCAGTAAACCCCATATTCGAATACTTGAGGACATCCGCATAGATGTCATTTTGATTATAGTACTGCCATTTTGTGATGAAGTGCCGGACGGTATGGATAACCCCGAGGCAATGAAAATACATAATTGTTACTTTATAATTTACCTCATCCATATCAAGTATTAGTATTTTAATGTGATGTACAACATTGAATTGTATGGAATCAATGTAAGTTGGTAGATTAGTTATGTTACGTCTCATGTAACGTACAACAGTAATACATAATATTAGAAGGAATAAATATGTATACCAAGGGGAGAAGTGATAAGAGTTGGTGAGGATTATGTGCGAAGAAATTATTTTATTAGTCCAACATAAAAATAGACAGGGTCACAGAGAAATTAAAAGCTTTAATCATATATATATTGTTATATAAAAACAAATACATATAGTAATAATATAAAACATAAAAGAAACATAAAAACAAATAAACAAAATCGGGTAAAACTAAAAATAGTGTTATAAATTTTGACCACGTAATATAACTTTAATTTCTTTAAAAAATTTTGTCTCAATTAGAAAAATGATCTATTTTTTATCAATTTTCCAATAAATATACAAAGCAGCCCATAGCCACCAACAAATCACGCCTGGCAGTAGGCCATTCCACCAAGCATGCACAATATCCACATAAAGACAATTAGGAATAGGTTTTAAATAAGATCATGCAACACGAACAACATATATGGCCCATGCCACGTCCTATCTATACCCAGAGATTGTAGTGCATTCACAAGCACGAATAACCGAATAAAAATGTTTGGTGTATCTTGTGCCAAAAATGTGCTGGAAGGACAGGTATATCGTGCAGTAAACACCGATACATACATATTTAATTAATAGCAAGCGAGGATTAACGAAAGGATCACAACGAAACACGGGATCAAAATTAAAATGATAATTTGGCGGTTGGTACATTTGACGGGATAGGCTCGGTAAACTTGAATACGGCGCATTCCGATGCAGTGTATACTGACGCCGAATATAACAGTGATATCGTAAACACTCTGTATGTTGTGTGTACGTGTGTGTGGTGTGAGTATTGAGATACCTATACGGTAGGCAGTACTAATGTCGTGCCAATGTTCTAGTATCGTGACGTCGTCCATAGTATGATTGTTTAACACTTAAAACAGACGTTACACAACTAAGAAATCATATTTCTAAAGGATCTATCAGGTGCCAACAAATATTAGACGCATGTACGACAAAGGTTATGTCTTAGTTTAATATTTCGCCAAACCAGAGAGCTTATGACTTACATTAATGAGCTCTCTAGATTGGTACTGTGCAGGCTTCAGTGAACTCAAGGATTGGTTGCTAATCTAGATCGTCACTTTCAGTGCCTTGTGAGACAGGCTAGGTTCTTCAGCAACTACCTTAAATAAGTGATCATTTGCTACTTTCCACATTTAGTGCTTCTTTTGTTTCGTATGTAATTTGTATGATCACTTTTAGAAAGTGTTTGTACTTATTGAATAAAGATCTTTATTAATATTATGATAAGATTAATATTACTCAATCTTAAATTAATTATTCTAGAACATTTAGAAGCGTCGGTGATACATACCTTCATCATGAGCAATAATGTGTTGAGGACGATAAGGGTCATGATTAAGTATTCGAAAGGTGTAGAGACGACTAATCTCCACACTTTGTACTTAAAACTCGCCCTTTTGCTTGGCATATACCTCTCGAGAGGTCTCGCTTCTATCGTGAAGTCTATACACGATTTCTGTGGACAAAGACAATGGAGCCGTTGAAGAAGAAGAATATTTGGCATTCTTCTTTGAAAACTTATAATTTTTAGAACTCTTACCTGATTCTTATCTATTTCACCATCCTGCAATTCAGCTTCACCCTGCTCTTGAAATGTAATAATAATCAGAGCTACGAATATGTTAACGAAGAAGAAAGGAAACACCACGAAGTAAACTATATAAAATATGGACATTTCTATTCGAAAATTTTGTATGGGTCCCCTGTCTTCGTACGTGGCGGCCATTGAGTTTTGTAGTACTCTGTAAACAAAGACAATGTAAGTATTAAGAAAGTGTCAAAACATTATAAAAAAAAATCGAGGAAGTGAAATCTAACACTTATTAATGTACTGGATAAACTGAACAAATTACTCAATAGTAAATTGGTCATAATGATAATGGCGTAAATTGGTTATGTAGATGCCAGCACATCAAGCTATACAAACTGTCTAACTTTAATATATATTGTACTTTACCACAATACAATAAAGTTAAAAGTAATAAAAACATCACAAATTGGAGGCATTTGAGCTTGAACTTTAATACCTACAAAATAGAATAGTTTTCTCTAAAGAATTAAATGTTACTCACTGAGGCCACCCCTCCCCGGTCTGCACCGCGAACAGCGTAAGCATGGCCACGGCGACATTGTCGTAATGGAAGGATTGCGTCGTCCACGTCCGCTGGCTGACGCGCGGCAGTAGGCTGTTTGACTCGTACACGAAATACGACCCTCTGTTACACACGATAAAGTTCATGTTAAAGTTGCAGAAAACAACATTCAAAGTCAAATAGAATTGCTGGTTTTGATAGTCAAGTCTTGTAATATTTAAAAGGTCATTTCAGCTATCTTACTTTTGTCAATAGTTGTACACTTCCATATTTGAGTTTGATTTTAAAAGAGAAACAGTTTCAGGATAACATCGACACAATGACTTTAGCGTAGGTATTTAGGGAAATACAAATAATATGTCAGCTAACACGCTAACTTAATCCTTCCTCAAAATTGTTTTTTCCACATAAAAGTTTAGAGACACATAAATAGATAATCATTAACTATTAATAATAATAAAACTCAATACTCACTGGCAGTCTTCAAAAGTATTCTTACTGATATCGTTGCAGTGAAAAAATTTACCATTAAAAAGTTGAACTGCAATTACAGCGAATATGAATTGAAACAATATGTACACAATGAGAATGTTAATGACGTTTTTCAAAGAGTTCACAACACAGTCAAACACTGCTTTTAACTTTGGAACTCGTTTTATAGTTTTCAAAGGTCTGAGCACTCGTAACACTCTTAACGATTTTATCGTGGACAGGTTCTGCCCTGCGCCCTTTTTCACGCCTCTGTAACAAAACAAATAAATTTGATTATTAAACATGACAATTTTTATAGGTCTTCTAAAAACTACAGTTAAGAAAGATATGAATCAGGCTTTGAATTAAAAACACCGAATATATTTCCACGGTTTAACGGTGAAGGAAAACATCGTAAGGAAACCTAGGCTTATAATTTCTAATTATAAGTTTGAAATCACCAACCCGCATTGAGCAAGCGTGGTGATTAATGCTCAAACCTTCTCCGGGTGAGAAGAGGCTTGGCTCAGCAGTGGGCATTTATAGGCTGTTGATGATGATGATGATGAATATATTTCCAAGAAATCCAGTTAACTGTCTCAAATTAAATCACAGAAATGTTGTAGAGTGCTATTGTCAAAAATTTGATACATTGTAAAACTTTTAATTCCATATTATTGCTGTGCAACCTAGATTGCTAGATGCTTATAAAAGCGAACTAAAATAAAAATCATAAATACAATGACATTAAAACATACCCGATCTCAAATCCGAAGCTGACAAGGGCGCATATGACGACAGCGGCATCCATGATGTTCCACAGGTCGCGTAAGTACGCGCCCGGGTGGAACAGGATGCCAAGATCCACTATCTTCAGCAACATCTCCACGGTGAACACGCCCGTGAACGCGTAGTCGAAGTAGTTCAGGATCTTGTTCCTGTTGGGTCAGAGGGAAATATAGTGGCAATGTTGTTGGGTGGAGTGGATTTTGATTAAGGATTAATTGACCAAATGAAGAATTATTGTAAATAGCATTATATTGAACTTGGTAATGGAAGGTGTAACAATGACCTTGAGGTATAACTGAACCTTGATATGGATGCTAATTCAAATGAAAAAGATAAACAGATGGTAAATGTCCAGAAGTATGATGATCTTAAACAAGGGAGTGCATTGGCTATTAGTGTAACAAAGAGATAACATTAGTTAAAGATCATGATGAGAAAGAAAGTTGGAAAGTCAACGTACCTGTCACTCTCTTCCACTACGGGGTCTTCAGCCGCTAAAGCCGCAGAACTCATACATATAACTACCATGATAAAAAAATCAAAATATCTTAAATTTACAACCCAGTGTGCGCCTCGCCTAATTCTGTAACACAAAAATATTATTATATATTAGCATTAGATTCATATCACAAATTCAAGTTCAATCTTGTAATGCTATGCTTATTTCCTATGGAGTCATATCAACTTACGGATTAGTAGGTGACAAAATAAACATGGACGAATATGGCAGCATTGGTTTTGGTCCATCTGGTACCTCATCTTCATCTTCTTTTTTGGCCTCTTCTTTCTTTTTGTTCTGGAATATTACAGGTCCATGATACTATACGTTCACTATAATAATTTCATCTACAATGTTTCCACTACTTTCTAATTATCGTACTCTGGCTCTATTAGATTTCTTTAAAACAACCGAAGACTGCTACACTAAGTTTGTCAACGGTTTCATATACAAGATGATTTTGTAGCTATGATTACTTATTCGGGCGAATAAGTACACATTCAGGAATAAGTTAAAGTTGATGTTATAAAAATTACATTTAGATCAAAATAAATACCATAACACAAGCCATTACTTTATGAATGTTGTATACAACATGCGTTACAAATTAATGTCGCAAATAGAAATCAAGAATTTAGTAAATGAAACGAAGAAATGATTTTCAAGCCAAAATCATGTATTGAAATTAATGAATACGTAAGTGTTTCTCATGAAGTTTATAGCCACCTAGTAGAAGTTAACGTAAAAATCAAATAGACTTTTGACATCCATTAGCCATCTAGAGATAAAAACCATAAAGATTTTATAAAAAACACCTATCATGACATACTGCTCACATAAGCGACATCGACCCGTCTAGCGTACTTAAAATATTGTTGATATCGATGCTATGAACGAACACACACAGAAGGAGCATCATATTAGACAGCGTGCAGTGTCATGCAGTGTTAAGAAAAGCTGCAGAATGAGGTCACAGAAGAGTTAAGTGGGAACTGTGGGAATTTATAATATCAACAATATTTTAAGTCGTCGACACCAATACATTTTGAAGCTTTGCCAATGCCGAACTCGTTTTACCTTCCTATGCGTCGGCGTTGCCGGACTTATTGGTATTCCTGGTGGAGAACCGTCCACCGCGTGTAATGCACCCATCTCTTTCTCCAATTCCTAATTATCCGGAATAATGTATGAAATATGTACAAATTTCGTACAAACCAACAGCTTAAACCAATTAGTACAACCGCTTGATAATATGTCGTAATGTTTGTGGGAGAGTGGTTGAACATGCTATGGCTTTGAAATTGTGATACTATCAACTAAACTCCAAAGCACCAGAGGATGAACACTAGAGGATTAACAAGTAGAAGCTCATGACTTACTTGGAGCTGTTTCTCCTTGTCCTCCTCGACTTGTTCCTCTTCAGCCGCTGTCAATTCCTGTAAATACAGATTTGCAACATTTACACGAAAAGCGGCGTTAGATTTACAAGAGCGCGATGACGTCAACATACATCAATTTGGCAAACGTCTCGTTTGTTCACGCACATTTAACATGTTTTACGTTACTTGATCTTATTGTAAAATTAAGGAAAGTTCACTTTCCTTAGGATCATGCAAGATCAAGTAACGCAAAAGGAAATGGATGTATGTACGCACCTGGGCATTAGCCAAGTTGTCGACAGCGATGGCAAGGAACACGTTTAGCAGCGTGTAGTTGCCAAACAAGACGAGGATGACAAAGTACAGCGAGTAGATCATGCCTCTCTGGATGCCGCCCTGAGACTGGATGCCATCATACATCACTTCGTTCCAATCTTCACCTGTTAGGATCTGAAATAAAAATAAAGAAATGTGTTAGTTTTACTAGCAAACCAAAGCAATGACAAGTTAGAAAACGATTTTAACTTAATTATAATGTTTCTTCGTAGAATATAAAAAAAATATTATTGATAATTTTTTATTACCTGGAAGACAGTAAGCAACGCAATAGGAAAGGTGTTGAAGTTGGTCGGTGGTGTGCCATCCTCGAAGTTGAACTGTCCTCCGAACAGTTGCATGCCGAGTAGTGCGAAGATGAGAATGAACAAGAAGAGAAGGAACAGCAGCGAGATGATGGATCTCATTGAGTTGAGGAGAGATATCACCAGGTTCCGAAGTGATGACCAGTACTTGGTGACCTGGAAAACACAAATAACATTGTGAGAATAGAAATTAAAAAACTCATCTCAAACAGTTTCTCCAGGAAAGTCATTGGTAACTTTGTAATTATTATTGGAAAATGAAAGTTTACCTTGAATATCCTCAGCAGTCTTAGAGCTCTCAAGACAGATAGACCGAAGGAGCCACCCTTGACTTCTGACCAGACGACCTCAAAGATGGAGCCAGAGATGACCACGCAGTCGAACCGGTTGAATGATGACTCGAAGTAAATCCGCGGTCCTAACGCGTACATCTTCACCCACATCTCCATCATGAACAACCCCAGGAACACAAATTCGGCATAGTCTGAGAAAAGAAAAAAAATGTTATTAGATAGGTTCATTTCAGAACATTTTGCATCGAACATAAAATTTTAAAACTTACATAAAAATGAAGTCAACCACTTGGGTTGTCTGTAATGCTCTACAGCGACGCATATCGTGTTGAAGAGCACCAAGACAATGACGAACCAGTAGAACCACTGGGTCTTTACAGTGTGCCTGATCCAGAACCGAAACCTCTTTTCGGCTCGCCAGAAGTTTGCAAATCTCCCAGCTGATCGGGCTTTACTTTTCAGAAAACCTGTTGCAAACAAACACTTATTAGCACATTCCTTGGTTCCAAAGTTGCCGTTGAACTTGCAATGGATATAAAACACTATAAATTGCTGATTTCCGTATAATTTAAATTGATTGTAAAGTTAGCCTTCAAAATATTAGTTTACCATATTTAATTAGTTGTTATGATTACATCGCGTGTAAATATAGTCGTGTTACCAAATGTCGGCAATTTAAAGGGTCTAATGTTTATTGCATGATCAACGGCATTTGCATTTAACTAAGGGATTCGGGTTCAACATTCAACTAATTGTTTATTAACTCTAGCGTTTACGCACGTAACGATAGCAGTCCTAGTGATACTGTTTCACAGATTTGCGACACAAATGCTCTCGTGGTTTTAAAGCTGGTTATTGATCGTTAAGTTTTATAACACCCAGTAATTGGCCGGTATGGAAACGGCATCGAAATTCAATCGGGGTCGCAATCCGAAACTTCGCTCGTATAAATCACTAACAACCGTCTTCTGAGATACCGTCATGTTATCTCCAGAAAATATGTATGTTACGTTTTATGGTAACTTTTTGGTGAAGCTCACGACGTACAAGCTTTGGGGGTGGGTTTTGGAAATAGCGGGTCTAGAGGTAAAAGAGTAGCAAGGGATAATACAATAGGTTTTCCGACGCCTGTACGTTGAACACATACATCGAATGTAGTGAAGAAATATAATTTCTCCATTTCACTAATTTTGAAGCAGACGTACAAACGTTTATAGTTTGGGTAAGACACAGGTAGGGTAACTATTCCTAAATCTACGACTAGTCTATTTGACTACTGTAGAAGATGAAAAGGAATATTCTACCAGCATCACGTTTGATCCCATACCTTGCTTTTTCTTTGGAACTGTAAACAACCAACACACAAATAGAGTACGAATACGCAATGATGATGAAAATGAAATAAAAGAGTTAGTTATCCACAAATAACATGCAACATTCATGAATTTACAATAGATTTACGTGAAAGAATAGGATAATAATTTAATGATTACAAATGTGACTAATGTACTGGAAAGTTAAAATATTCCTAACCACACTGTTGATTATAGTTACAGAGACGAAAATGTAAATAAAGATAAAGAAAATAAGGACATGCTTCTAAAAATTGGTTCCTGATTGTAAAACGAAAATGAATCTGTAGTTTAAGTAAAAAATCTGGTTATTTGAACTGTAGTGGATATACACACAACACGACACTCAGATTACAGAATGTGTAACATTCATGTTAAGTTAGTTGATACTGACCGTCATCACCGCAGTCTTCATCTTGTTCTTCCTCTTCTGTGTCTGTGCTTTTACTTTTACCAAGGTTTTTTAACTTCTTTTTGGCCGCTGCTCTTCTTCGTGCTATTGGTAAAATAGATTCATTATTAATTTGTCGTCTCACAATATATAAGTAAGTTTAGAATTATGTAATTTACTAAAAGTTCTTGAGATTCCTTTCTAATCGCTTACCTTCTATTATGTGCATCTTTTCTTCTTCTGTTGTTCTTTCTTCTGCTAATATTACTTCCTCTGTAAGTAAAAATATATTATTAGAATGTGGTAATTCAGGTCTTCGTGACTTGTTGATTATATTTTTTAACTAATTAGTCCAGTACTTATTCGTGGGTTATTGGTATTCCTCACTTACCTGCTTTACATATCCACTCAACGTAACCATTGAGTTCTCTCTCGAGTTGCTGCTGTCTTCTTAATTTAAGAAATTCTTGTCTATTTTCTACTTTCTCTCTTTCTTTAGCGAACTCACTGCAAATATAATTATGCATATTGAACTACTCTAGCACTAATGACATGAATTTCAATTAATATCGGAAGTTACTAATTTCAAAATGAGATTTGTGAAAATTGATAATTTTTGTCAGATCACAATGGGCGATGATCAAGTAATAAAAAAAACCAAACAACTGTAAGAAAAAATGTGGTACAATAATCTAGCAATACAGATTACGAAGAAATTCTAACACTTGAAAATAATATTCAAGTGTCATCATTGGCATCATACAGAATATTTAGCAACCACTTTAGTGTCATTTCGTTCTCTAGCTTTACTCGAACACTCAAAACCAAAACCGTTATTCAAAAGACCTGCTTCAGTGATCCAGTTGAGGTATGCGTTGAAGTCTGCGTTGAACATTTGCCGAGCTCGTTCTTTAACGAATTGAGCCCTTCTTTCTACGCGACCTCTTTCATTAGAAAACTCTCTGGATATTTATGTGAAAATAAAGAAAATATGAAAAATACGAAAGTAATTAATGCTGAAATGACAAAGTTGTTGTCAACTTACCCGCTAAGAACACCGAGAACTAAGTTGAGCATAAAGAATGAGCCCAATACTATGAGAGGCACAAAGTAAATCCAGTTGAACGCACTACCTAGCGCGTCATTCGTCTGTAACAAAAGACATCGTTTAGTCATCAAGGAACTTTATATTTTATATTTGGTATAGGGGAACTAATGTACATCTAGAAACTGTATTGACAAAGAAACTGCAGAAGCAGTCAAGTCTAGTTAAACATACATAGAAATATTTTGAAATCCATAAGATTAAGTGCTTATAGTATTTTATGTCCATAAACCGCGTACTAAATAAGGCCAAATAACAAAAAAATTGTAATTCTCACTGTGGATTATACAGGAATAATAACATGTTTAAAAATGTATAGAGTAAAGTAGCTTACCCAATAGAGGATGGCGGTCCAGCCCTCCATGGTGATGCACTGGAAGACAGTGAGCATAGCGAAGCCGATGTTGTCGAAGGACGTGATGCCCCTGTTCGGCCCCTCCCACTTCTCTAAGCACGTGCTCTTCTCGTACTCACACACGTTCGCGCCAAACGGCGCCAGACTCGCGTTGTCCGCGTTGCACGGTGTCGCACTATCGCCTTCGTTAACTATTTCACCTGTAATTATTTTGATTAGTTTAGTAACTGTATTAGAGAAATCAATTTTAGATTCAGGCGAGTATGATTAGCCCCTGGTATGCCGGGGACGTACATATACGCGAGACACAATGTGTTTTCTATTGTGTGTCACGCAGACATGCCGCATGATTAAGTTTAGAACCAAACTGGTTGATGTCTGAAATCAAAGCGAATCTTTGCTGCTACTTAATTTTTCCGTCTTTCTTCATACAAAAGTAGTCTCTAAACACCGGAAAGTCTATAATGGAGTTAGTTGACAGTCGTCACCGGTGACCGCTTGGGGATTGATTATGAAATGATATGAGTTTACGAAACTATTCAATACAGTCTTTTAACTTATTATAGGATCACATAAATAACTATGTCTTAGTAAAAACAATATTTTTCTCATTACAATGATAAAATCACTGATCATATCGCTAGTAGTAAAATTGTTACACCGAGACTTAAAATGCAACATAAAGACTAGTCCTCTAATTAACTTTTATAGCCAATAATTAAAACGTGGAACTTTCCAACTTTCTGCTTATTACATTTTGAAGTTTAGCCGTTAATTTAAATTTCCACATGCAATGGTGTCGCTTGTTCGAGTTTGTTACTTCATGGTAGGAAGTGTTATACAAACTTAAACTGGGTTATTGTAATTTACGGACAGTAAAGTTCATATTTACGCAGTCGTTGGAAAGTTTACCGAGAATCGATATAGGTAGTTTGTTATTGTTTTAGTTGCATGGTTTTGTTCGTTTATTTTGTGCTCATTATGTTAGCTTTGCCAATACAATTGTTCCATATTAAGTTTAGTACCTGGGGCTATTTACATGATATTTGATCAGCTATTTAAATAATGTATTTTATATCTAGTATGTTTAAATTAGCTATATCATCATCATCATCACCATCAAAAGTCTATAAATGCCCACTGCTGAGCAAAGCCTCTACTCACACGGAGAAGGTTTGAACATTAATCACCACGCTTGCTTAATGGGGGTTTGCGATTACAAACTTATAATTAGAAATTATAAGCCCAGGTTTCCTCACGATGTTTTCCTTCACCGTTTGTCAGTGGTGTCTAGATAATCTTAGAAAGTACATATAACTCGGAAAAAGTCACATTGGGACTTGCTGTTGGTAGGTTTCGAACCCGCACCCTCATGCAGGAAGCGGGTGACTTAAACATCAGGGCTACCACGACATGTATATGGCTATATGGTGTTACATATAATGTTATGTTCAGGTTTTGTTTGATGAAAAATTATATTGTATTGTACCTATCTACGTGATATCTAACGATAGCACTTCTTTAGTGTACTTAATTTAGAGAGGAAAGCTACCCCACTGACTGGTCAAACCACAAATGCCCCTTTAACAATTATTTCTATAAGCGTTGATAATTAAGTATACTTACTAATATCTTCTAAATTATAACAAGTCTTATGCAGCGCCCCTGAGTAGAACTCGAGGCCGATGATAGCGAAGATGACTATCGCGAAAAGCACCAAGAGGCCGATCTGCAGCAACGGCGCCATCGCCTTTATAATAGACTTCAGTACCACTTGCAGACCTATACAGAAATGACATTTATGTACATTACATCGTAAGGGTCATTATAGCGTGGCTTGCCCTGTGATTTATGATCTTTTGGTAGAATTGGCAGGTGTTAAGCCAGGTCATGCATGACTTTTCGGTAGGAGTAAAATTATTGTTTTTCCTTTAATTACTCGGTAAAAATTGAAATGGAAGACATTTGATGTAGTTAGAACAGCTTAAACATTTCTAAGGAAAGTACTTAATATATACATACGTACTTTCTATTAGGACGTTAATAGGTACTATTTTTATTTTTTGTTTCAGGGGGAGATAAGCCCATACATGTATTTAGAAATAAAGCAGATAAAAAATAAAGTAAGTTTACAAAATAAAAACTTTCAAAATTAAATATTATATATTCATAAATTACAGGGCAAGAAACAAATTATTCGAAAAATATAATTTTGAAAAAAAAGAGGAAAAAAAATCAATCGATAATAATTTGTCAATTATTCAACTTTGACATCGTTAATAATGTAAAGGTAAAATTAAACATAATTACCAAGTAGGTGGGTTTCTCGACGTTACTTGCTTATTTTATCGATGAAAAAAAAGAAGATTTCCAAAGATACAGACAACAAGAAATAGATTTTCTGACTAAATGCCATATATCTAGAGATGAAAATCAATAACTATTTATTGAAAAAGACATCAGAACAATGGTAACACAATATAAAATCAAAAAGTTATCGTGCACAATGATATTAATTACACGTTACATAATTTTAAAAAATGGCGGCATTCTATTTTTTTTCGCGCGCGTTTTGCCAAGTGGCCAGTATTTATATTTATTAACACAAACTTTTTGTCTATTTATTTTCTAACAGGCCAGTGTTGTTAGTGAATAAAATTATGCAACGATGTAACTAAAGGTTCTACAATACGATTAACTAGTCTATGAATGTTCTAGAACTCACTAGGAACGCCCGATACTAATTTAAGGGGCCTCAGCACCCTAATGGCACGCAAGGTCCTGAAGTCGACGTCGGCTGGCGCGATCGGCAGCTGCGTGATGATACTGCCAAACACATATCACTCGATACTATAGCTTGAACTAGCAACTAGCTGAGTAATAAATTACTACTGAAGACTGTGCTTTTGTCAAAAACAAATAATAATAGAATAAAAATTGAAAGAAGAAATAAAATATACTTAATGTAACTCGTAAAGGTTTACCAAGACAATTTTATAATGGACAAATTCCAGAAAAGGCCCGTGTGTCCATGGTATTCCATCGGTTATAACTACGAAGTACACTTGTTTTAAACAAAAATAAAATGACTTTAGTCTGATTTGAAATGAAAATCGTGAAAAACAAAGCACAGCCTTGATTTGATGTAAAAATAACTACAATCTAAATATCGTGTATCTAATTAGTTAGATTGTTATATGCTAAATAAATTATGTTAATTATACGCATTTTAATCTAAATACACCATATTTATTCACACCTAAAACCATTTCTTTATCTAAATTCTTACGTATTAGCTTTTATATTTGATGTAAACCTACACAATACACAAAATGTATAGCAAATAGTTACTATTATGCAACACGTAGCTTTAAAACATTAAACACTTCCAATAAATCACATATTAATTAAAATTCACACATTTTCTAATCTATATTAAGTATGTCAATAAACATGTCGAGAATACGATGCTACGTATTTTTATACTAATATAATAATAGATTAAAAATTCTATTTTCCATAACTAGATGTAGTTCTACATTCAAAAAAGTTTCAAAATTCGAAAACATCTAGCGAGTAACGTCTATAACAAATAAGGTAGAGGTATTATGTGAACTTTTCGCCAATTACTGTGAATTACTTGGTATCCGCGAGACGAGCTTGAGCGGTCGGAGCACTCTGAACGAGCGCAGCATCCGCAGGTCAACGTCCACGTTGTATTCGGCGAATATCGTCATCGACCTAGTTTTTGTTATCGAATATTCAATAATGTCAACCCTTTCTTTGTTTCTTTGACAAAACCTAGTGTCCTACGATTAGTATCAACCAATTGTGTGGCCTAATAGTTTAGTGTAAATGATAATTTGTATATAATTTAGATTACAATGATGACGGTTTACTAAAAGCGTCCTCGGTGCTGAACGAAGAATATAGTTTAGAGCAATGGAGGAGGCTTTTACGTAATTATATGTAGGTAATACTTTTTTGAAAAAGTAAGTTATGGAAGAAATGTCCCTTTTTTGATTAGTTACCTACTAAAGATTATTTGTATGTGTTCTCAATTTAAATGTTGGTAATCGTAAGTCGTAAATAAACAAACGAATATCGAATGAGAACAAAAACAATTTGATATTAGCACGTACATATATGTATCAGTTAGGTACAAAAGATTTGATCACAGGCTAACACTGTTTGTTAAAAATAGATATACATAAGTAAATACAGCACACATTTAAGAATGAATTATATGATACAAATCATTCTTAATCCTTATGCTATAATGGAACATTTCTTCACACAACTTCACAGTTACCTCTTACAAAAACAAAATACTTAATAATTACAATAAAAAATGAATAAAAATTATAAAAAATTCACTCACCCAGTTACTACAACGAAAAAATCCATGATGTTCCAAACGTTCCTAAGATAAGATCCCCTGTGTAAAACAAAACCTAATGCTAAAATTTTTAACGAGGCTTCTACACAAAATATTCCTAAAAAGTACGCCTCGGTCTTTTCCTGGAACAATGGAAACAGTATTCAGTATTATTGCTAACATTAATACACTGCACGTAAGTAGGTTATAATAAAAAAGAATTTAACTAAATTAACTAAAAATCGTGGATATACTGAGATACACGTAAATATACTAAAAAAAACTCTATTAGTAACACCTATGCGGGCGACAACGCTAGCCAGTTATAAGCTGCGCGACATCGCCGCGACCGCACACGCTGCTCATGAGGAAGAACACCTCTGTGGTTCGAAACTAGTAGAGCTTTTATCAGTATATTCGCGTGCGTAACCCGTGATTTTTAGTTAATTTAGTATGTCTCACGATAATTATTATAAAAAAGAATTTATGAAATTACAGTCTCAAACAGGGAAAAATGTAACACGGAACATAGAAAAACAATTATCTGTTTAATGCTGATGACCTATGACCGCGTGAACCGAAGAAAGAAAAAAAAAAAAGAAAAAACTTTATTTCACGCTAAAAAACAAGTGACATTATACCGATGTGTTATTCTATTAGTAGGTACTGACGGATACATGTTCATGTCTCAAGTCTGCGGTGAAGTGAGACTAGTTCATGTACAAGACAGGGCTTTGCGCTTATTGAACTTTAATAAGATTATTTTAGCAGAAATGTTATTATGTAGATATTATTCTGTACCTAAGTCTTAAATATTTTGAACATTCTGTTTTTGATTTGGACTTTAAGAGAAACTGAGAAACCTTAAGTAAATAAATAAAGAAGGAAATATAGTTTTTGTTGTAGTATTACACCTTTATCAAATAGTTGAGTGAGACAATAAGTTAAAATTGGTTTTAGTACATAACTGCGCCCCTATAAAACAGGGGTTTAATCGCCAGTATAGCAATATTTACTTTACGCCATACACGTGTTGTTGACAATTCATAAAAAGAGATTGCCCTTGTCAGTATTTGTACAGAAATCATTACTTTTTATACACTTTCATATTATTATGTTTGTTAAATGTCACTTTAACTCCTTCTGTATAACGTTCTGTTTTCTTTACATTGTAATAGAAAGAAATAGTTATGGCATACCTACAAGAAAACATGTGTTTACGTAATATTAAACAATATAAGCTGATTCTTAAATACGAAGCGTAGCGAACAAAAATGCATTCTTTGCCTTTGAATGAAAGTTACATTTAGTTTACTACGTGTCATTTGTCATTGCTAATATGTCAGTTGTTTTTTTATAAAATGTGTTCCATTTTTAAACAATCGCAAAGCTGATGTAGACTATACATGTGTGTGCTAAAATATACTTCAACAGTAAAATAATAAGGTTGAACTTACCAGATTCTGTGCTAAGATGGTCTTATCGCCGTTGGGCAAATGCTCCTCCAGCGCCAGCACCACGCAGTTGGCGATGATGGTAAGCAGCACCGCGTACTCGAAGGGCGGCCACTCGATGATGAACTTTGTGTACCTGAAAATAAATCACATATTTATTTAAAACGTAAGTTCGCAGAAAAAACATTATCTTTTATAAGGTTTTGTATTTACAATGAAAATGGACTAAAATTATTATTGATGCCTATGGTTTGTTGAAATACAAATCTAAGTGACACACAATGTATCTTATATTGTGTTTCATATAGCGGCAGTTACCAGGTTAAGTCATCCATTGTCCTGCCTACTCAGGCCTAAGCAGGGCTTCATATTATATTTCATGCACACGTTCAAAGTACGTTCATAATTGATTGCATTGTCTCTGCAATGATCGCTTTCTAGAAACTTCAGTCTCCTCATTTTCCTTTATAATGAGATGTTAATACGATATTTTCCATTATGATGAAAATGAGGTTCTTGTGTGTAACAAAGAAGATTATTTACTTGTTTGAGAACCTATTTACTAGTGTAGGGCTTAATGAGAATACATGTTGATAAAGTAAACTTTTTTTTTTTAAGGGGGGAAAATCATCGAATGACTGCTCCCGCCTGGGTGAGGCGGAAGGGAGTGTCAGACTCTTACTGACTAAAAACCACCCCGTTCCTTCTCCTGCACGTCGAGCCGGAGCCCCGGTTACCCGTTAGGTTCTCCGCGACTCCGAATCGGCATCGGCCCTATTGGGCCCCATCTGTGGTGGTCTGATGGCTCTTTGAGGCGCGCGCGGAGCGCTACGCGCCGTACGTGATAAAGTAAACTTAGGTTTCTTATTTACAGATAAGTTATTTGCTCCTAATTATTCGATAAAAAGCTATGCAATACAACTGTAATTTTAGTAACTTAGACTCTGGAATTGTGCCCTGTTTTTACAATGGTAAATGCACCTAAACATTTACTATAACCATTTTTTTTTTATTCAATCGGATGGCGAGATGGGGATCTCGCTTGGTGGTAACCGATGATACATTTTTTTTAAGGGGGGAAAATCATCGAATTACTGCTCCCGCCTGGGTGAGGCGGGAGGGAGTGTCAGACAGTTACTGACTAAAAACCACCCCGTTCCTGCTCCTGCACGTCGAGCCGGAGCCCCGGTTACCCGTTAGGTTCTCCGCGACAACCGATGATACACTTACTTATAAGCAAAGCTGTTTACTCACAGCAGTGTTTCGAAGACACTCAAGCTGTATTTTTCAGTTATAAAAAGCTTTGAAAAATAATAATGTAACATTCATTTTAGAACTTGCGAACATATTTTGTAGTAACATGTTATAAAAATCCGACAAGCAATGTTCCTATCGTTCAATGCAACTCGGCCAGGTGTGAAAAGTTCCATAAGTTTAAAAGGTTTCTTCAAACACGCTGTCCAATGGACAGGCAGGTAATGCACTTCGTATTTTAGGAACTGCGTATTTCCTCCAATAAGAGAGGGGTAAGTAACTACTATTTACTTTTCAATGGTTGGAGTTGTTAAGGTTAACGTTTAAATGGATTTTATAATTTCCTCTGTAGACATAGATAGTTTTTTTAAAATTACAGTAATTTTCTCTTAAATACCTCTAGTAACTTATAATTAGTCATGTTATGTGTTAATATGCAAGTGCAACTAAAATTCCCTTGTTGGACGAGTGATCGCGACTGACGGGCCAGGGGTGTCGGGTTCAATTCCCGGGTCAAGCTAAGCAATAGTGGGTTTTAAATAAAAATCTCAGTAGTAGCATGGAGTCTGGAATTGTACTGGGTATATGGCAATAGACTCACCCCCTTTTACATGAGACTCATAACATAAATAGTGAAAAGTGGGTGTTACATTGTACAGAGGCATTAAGTGCCGTAAATGTGCACCGATGTTATGTTATGTTATGCAACAAAAATATACCAGAATACGCAAAAGAATTAACGTTTAAGCTTCTCGAAGCAAATATTTATGTGAACCTCAATGTTAGTCTATGCCTGAGGTCGCTAATTTCTTCTACTTATAATTTTTTTATCGATAAATAATAAATAATAATTGCAATTTAGAAAAATGGATGAAATAGTTTTTTATATCAAATGTACCAAATATTCTATTCATTATTTCTTCCTGAAATTAAATATTAAAAAGAAATACTTCTTTAACTATTCAAATAAGCAAGTCTATGTGTAATATTCCTTTTCGCCCCGTCCTATATACATAATTTAAATTTCATGAATTTCGTGACGACACGGAAATATTTGAAACGAGTATTGTTTCAAAATGAAATGACTGATGTTTTGGGGTTGCCTTCAATAGAATTAAATCGTTTCTATTTGTTTTTGTATTTCATTTAGCTTTGTGTAATGTTAAAAGAAAACTAGGTTCATGTGAATAGAATAGGTGTCTTATACTGACTATCCAATAAATAGTGCACCATACTGTCTCTTACAGTATAGTGCACTATTTATTAGACATAACTGAGACCTATACCTACATAAATAAACCGAATATAATATGTTCAGCGAAATTGATTGCTGCTAAATATATAATTATAATATAATAATAAGAGTATTAATGAAGTGTTAATGAAGCGAAAGAGGTATGTAAGAATCGTAGTAATTGGCGTTCCTTAGTCTCTGCCTACCCCCATGGGAGACGGGCGTGAAGTTATGTATGTATGTATGTAGCATAATATTTGTTTATCGTTATTTGTCAAAATGTCGTATAATTTTGGAACTACAATTTTGCTGAATATATTGGGTTGTCTAGGTATATCAATACTGTCAAGTAAGTATATAGTACAGGTAAGTACAATTAGATAGCTGGGATCACCCAGCTATGTCCCCTTATAGTATGGTGCACTATTTACTGGAAATGCGCTATTAATTGGGCCTCCGGTAACCTCACTCACATGACGAAACACAACACAAACGTTGTTTCACGTCGGTTTTCTGTGAAGCGGTGGTATCACTCCGGTCGAGCCGGCCAATTCGTGCCGTAGTATGGGTCTCCCACACTTAAACGTATCTCATTGTAAATGTTTTTTGTTAGACACGACTGGTATTTTTGTCCATGACTGATATAAGTAAATTTTGTAGCATTCCTAAAACACCAAATCTCACCAAATGAAATTGTCTCTAATAGAAAAAATGAAAGTTCCTTTTCTAAACAATGCACACAGTTCTCTACGCAAAACAATCTCTTTTTGTTACCAAATTGAGTACACCTAGTGTAAGAACGTACTTGTTTACAAAATGCATTAGGGGGCGAATAAGGTGTGCGCTTAATATGTATAAGTGGGGGCAATAGCGTCCCACCCGCAGCGCGCCATGCTAACTCTTGGCCAGATGTTGCGCAGGGTTAAGTCGCAATATGAACACGATAGTCCATGCTTTTGGGGGTTGATTTAGTTGGTATCTGGTTTCCGGGACATTTATTTTGAGTTTTAATTGAGATGGTGTTTGGAAAATTAATACAATGTGACTATCGTGTCACTTCATATATTGATTCTTTCCGAGTTGTACATACCTCTATATACTTTCTAAGTTTATTTAGACGCCATTGACAAATGGTGAAGGAAAACGTCGTAAGGAAACCTGGCCTTATGGCTTATAATTTCGAATAATTATAAGTTTGAAATCGCCAAGCTGCATTGTGCAAAAGTGGTGATTTATGTTGAAACCTCTGTGTGAGAAGAGGCGAGCAGTCGCTACTCATGGGGCGTTGATAATGATGACAGCATGCATTAAATCTCTTTGATATCATTTTTATAGTGTGAAATTGATTTCAAAATTATTATTTAGATTTATTGTATATGAATACTTAATTATCAGTACAACATATTATATTAATGTTATTACAATGCTTACTATGCTCACGACTTATCAAATCTACAATCATACATCGCTTACTAAGTACTCATAATAAACAATTCATACGAATCTACTTGATATTGTAACTCGACAGTAAATAACAATGAAAATAAACAAGTAAATTAACTGTTCATGTCACAGTGGGTTCCAATTTGTATTTATTTACGTTCCGCATGGTTTGTTGGCACCACGCATATCGAACGCCGAACTATGTCCCGCGGAATGACACCCAATTATCTACGCCTACCTTTAAAAATGTTAACTTATTTTTGGCGCGCTTTTCCCTGTCACTGCGATTAAGCGTGACCTTTTTTCCCTCGCTAATATTTTTTTTTTATAGAATCACAGTGTCATGTTATTTTTAAAGTTTGACTAATTTTGTTTTTTTCGTTGATTGTGTTTTTAAGCAATGAAAGCCTGTTTAGGTATATATATTTGTGAAAATATTGAATATCGTAAGTTTAAAGTGCTTATACTTAGCTACTTAGCTTTTTTGTACCTTAAACACAGCTGCCTATTTAATTAGTTACATTCTGTATAAATAGGCTCGTATTTCAGAAAAGATGAATTAAGTGATCTCCTACGTACATTACGGGTAAAAAGATAAAAAAAAAATGTATTTCCTTACCTCCGAATAGGATTTTCGTCGGCAAATATAAAGAGTGAGCTGGGCCCTGGAGTAGCGGGCTGGTGCGCGCCGCCCATGGTATCAGCTGGCGCCGCGCGAGCCTGCGCCCCCGCCGCCTCCTGCGCTGCCGCCAACCTGGAACATAACACCGCACACTTAGTAAACGAGATTTTCTTTCATACTTATGTGAGCCTGGTAGCTCGGGCTCTTAATACACAGAGTTTTGTAAAATTTACGGATTTAAATTGAGGTCAGTCATACAAAATTTGATAAACTATACTTAGTTTCTGTAATGTCATTAGTGTATACAAAATATCCACATCATACACAAGGAAATTGACACAGCAACCGTGTCTTTCGCAACTCGAGACGAGTAGGTAAGTAAGATTCAACTTCCAATTAATTTGTCTTTAACAAAAATAAATAATTTTGCAGGATTCCCAAAAAGGATTTGCTGTATTTGTAAGATTTTCTTTGGTAAGCATACTTATTTAAAGTTTAATAGAGTTGATGAATAGTGCTCTGAAATAGATTAATAAACAAGTATGTATCTAATTAGCATCAAACTTTTATGAAGAAAATACACACAATGCATTTAAAATGTATGTTAAACCCCAACCACCCCATCTAGGAGCATAACATAAAACACGGCCATAGCGAGCACACACCGCGACCGTAGAAGTTGTATCAAACTGAATTATTTAATCAAGAAGTTAGATGTACCAGGGCAGCATAAGGTAGTAAGTAGTATTATTAATTCGTTGTGCCGTAGCGTGATACAATATCATTAAACAGTTCTGTGCATGACTAGGAAGGCTCGAGCGGTTAATGATATCATTATCAATTAAACTCCAATGTCCCGCTAAATATGAAACTGTGTTAAATTATAAATATTAAATAGTCTCCCATAGCGAATGTTTAGACGTTACAGTGATAATTACAATTTTTAGTTTAATGTTTCTGCGAAATATAATTACGTGGCTACAATTTTGTTAAGTTATTTAATTAGTTATAATTATTTTTGTAGGTCGTGGCAGTTTTGGAAGTCTTCCGTGTGTTTTGGTTACAACTTTTAAATAAAGAATAATTTTCTGACTTTAATTTTCGAATCAAATCAAATAGGTAGGTACGTATCAAGTAGTCATGTTTCGTCAGCCATGTTAACGATTACAGGATTTACACATAGGTAAGTTATAAATCTTGTAAGATATTAGTCCTATAGTGCCAAAAATAGATTTGTTTCCTATCTATCACCGAATAAAGTCAGATGCAGAACTCAGGACGCTGTCGTACATAAAGTCGTCTTCAAATATTGTATTTAATTCACATATTATGATGTGATAAATAAAATATGAAACATATGTCCTTCGACCACACCGATAATAAGGAACATAGACTTTCAAAAACCCCGGTAACCGGAATATTTTCTTGACAATAGTAATTGTACTGCGACTTGTACTAGCATTGCGTCAGCATAATATATTATGCGTGACGCAAAATTGAATAGACAGGGAAAATCTAGGTCAGTCTGTTGGTACAGTTTGCAATGATAGGTGGAGGTGGGTTTAGAATTTTGATTTGATTTACTGTATTATGGTGTTGATTTTGATAAACAATCTTATAATTTACACTACATATTCAGTTATAGTTTGTTTTAAAGAACGTTCCCCCACACTGTTTGCTCCTGTGTCATGGTTGCGTGTACAATCATACAATTTCACATACACATGACACCCAGACCCGGAACAACAATTTGTGGATCACACAAATAGTTGTTCCGTGTGGGAACCAAAACCGTGACCGTTGCGTCGCTTGTCCAGCCACTATGCTAACCGTGGCAATTGGTTTAAGTATTGTCGGTAAAAAAAACATCAACATTATATGCCTCAACTACCGTATTGGTAGGATTGTAGTTATGGATGACCCTGACTTACCGAGAGTATAGATTTATTAATAGTCGGCAAGGCGCATGTTATGTCCCATATATTGCAATCGTTCATAGGCCACTGTAACCACTTACCATCAGGTGGGCCGGGAGCATTTTTTGCCACCGTCGTGGTATAAAAAAAGAGTTTAACTCGATGATCAAGATAAGCTAAGTATGAGACAATGTATTGATTTCTTAATACGTAAGATGATGTGGATAATATTAATGAGATGAAAATGATGGTCATAACTAAAACACTGATACACTATATCATAATTTAAGACAAAAGAACTTCCCTACGATACAATATGCAAGTTTGTAATGTGTTGATAACCTTCCATTGTCGATTGTACGACTACCTATGTATATGCATGTATGTGTGTGTATCTTTGTATGTACGCGTGACGGTTAAGGGAAAGCCGCAGTTTTAGTACATTAGATTAATTAATACGCCAGTTTTCAATTGTTATCAGGGTTGCCATCTAAACGGAAGCTCTGGGAGGTAAATAAACAACGGTGTATTGCACACAATTAATTAATGGCAACACTATGAGGATTAAAATAACATTTTTCATTATAAACGTTTGTAGCTTGTGTTTTAGTGTGTTTGGTATGGTATTGAGGTTCAAGTTAGTGTCAGCTTTAGCTTTAATTTTTATGTAAAAACGCCTTTTACACTTGGTAGGTATAACAGATTATCATGAACAATCTATAAATGCCCACTGCTGAGCAAAGCCAACAATCCAAGAGCAGGTAAATCGTCAAATCAATAGATTAGAGTATGATTATTATTTTTAAATTATTTATTGCATTGAAAAGTCGAAACAATTCATTTTAAACTTAGGAAACTACCCAATTGTCTTGTAATAATAAAATACAAAAAAAAATCATCACTATACATATAACTCATTACAACATGAATTAAAGATAAAACAAAATAATAATTTTCACACTTCAAAAATGTGGGAGAGCCATGCTTCGGCACGAATTGACCGGCTCGACCGGAGTGATACCACAGCCTCACAGAAAACCGACGTGAAGCAACGCTTGCGTTGTGTTTCGTCGTGTGAGTGAGGTTACCGAAGGCCCAATTAGCCTCCCCTTCCCCAATCTCCCCAATTCCTGAATCCCCAAAGATCCTCAAACTCCTAATCCCAAAAAGGCCGGTAACGCACGCGTAATGCCTTGGGTGTTCCAGGTGTTCATGGGCGACGCCGATTGCTTACCATCAGGTGATCCATCTGCTCGTTTACATATGCCATAAAAAAATATAAACACCATTTGGTAAAAAACTGTCGTCACACGGATTCAATAAAGCGCGCGCCTAATTCTATTAGCACAATATCTGATGCGTCCCCATCGCATTCGTTGGAGAATGTCCCTTATGTCCTGCTAATGTGACTGACCCTATCTTCAAAATATCTAGGTCAACAGGACAATAAAATAAAGAAACGAAACGAGTAATGGCCGTAGATGTAGGTATAACTATATAACTCCATAACGTCACGCCTTCTATTTGAGAAAGGGTTATGCAGATCGTTCACACATCGAATGTTATAATAAAATGTACATATCGCTAATTATGTTGTAAGTTATTTGGTGTTGGACTGTCTCGTTAGCTGAGTGGTCGCAAGGGGTCTGGGATTCAATTAATGGGTCGGGCATAGGACTATTGGGATTTAAAAAAAAATCTCAGTAGTAGCACGGATTCTGGAATTGTGCCCGGTATATGGCAATAGGTGCCCCCCTTATTATATGGGACTCATAACATAAATAGTGAAAAGTGGGTGTTACATTGTACAGTGGCATTAAGTTCCGTAATGTGCACCTCTGCCTACCCCTTCGGGGATAAGTAGCGTGATGTTATGTATGTTATGATATGTGTGATTTATATAAACTTAACTAAGAGAGAGATCGAGCAGCGATGCTCTCTGATGAACATTCACATTTCATTTAATTTCTAATTTTAAATAGATCTTATTTTAAGAATTGTTCAACCAAAATTTTTAATGTTTAATAATTTTTTATTTGACTTGTTTTATATTGTTATGTTATGATTTGGATTTTTGATATTGTATTTCTTTTGTATTTTCTTGACATTTCTGTAATTTAATTTAATCTAATTTCATTCAATTGCTATAAATGTTTGTATGGGCATGATGTGATTTCCTTTAATTGAAGGATCACAAGGTTATTGTAACGTGTGGTGGATTATTTTTTTTGTATGTAAGTGTATCTTTTGTTGGGAGTCCAAATAAATTAAATAAAATAAAAATAAAACATTAACTTGTTAAACAGTTATCTCCAGCCAACGTGCCAAGCGCGAAGATTTTTAAAAAAATATTTAATGGCAATTACAGACTCCATGCTACTACTGAGATTTTTTTAAGAACCCACTAATAATTTGCCAGACTCGGGAACCCTTACCCGGCGTCGCATTTGCGACCACTCGTCCAAATACCTAGCTAGCTTCATCTAGTTTCACTGACGGACTGACTGACAGACTATTATTTATTTTGTATTTGTTGACGTTTCAAAAGCACCAAACTATGGTTTTATTGAAATAAATGCTTTGACTTTGACTTTGACTTTGACTTTGAAATGAGGCAGTCTAGTACCTAAGTAAAATTCACTCATACGATACCCGTTGAATGAGTGAAGAGGGTGACATAAGTATTCTGTTACCACGCAGCATTTAACTGTATACAAAGTTAATAACTAATGTGTGCAATAAACATTAACTAGACGATTTCGTTTGGAAATACATATGTATGTATGGGAGTCAGTAATTAATGGATTCTAAGTACTACCTACTACATATTTTACTTAATGCCGTGTTGTTACCAACATAAACGTTATTAATTGAAGTAGAAATTAATGTTTGAAGCATTAGACTGGGTAGTGAAGTGACATTGTGAATATATCAACTTTACTGCAGATAGTCAATAAAACGTTGGTAGTTTCCTTCGTCTATAAATTATGTATATTTTCGGTAATGCTGAAAACATTAATTACTACAAGTTTATATTTTAAAAGTTCGTGTTATCTACTGTCTTAGAAGTAGGTTACTGCAGTAGTATCAAAAGTTGATGTTCGTTTAAATAAACGATTAAAATTAAAAACATCTTAACAAAAGTTCAGTGTTAAAACATTTATGACTTGTAGTTAAAACAGGTTATGAATGAGAGCTAATATGC